GGCTGATGAATGAGGACCATAGAAGGGTGAGGCCAGCCTGGTCTATAGAGCGATACTCTGACTCAAACAAACAAATAAGTGAGGCAGAGACGAAGATACTTGGTACCGAACCCTCTGGCCTGGGCTGGATCCCTGGGACCCACGGTGGAAGGAGGGAACTGACCACCACAAACAGTGCTCTGATCTCCACACAGCACTGTGGTATGTGTCCCTCCCAGCAACAAACAAATGTTTGTTTGTTTTTGTTTTTAGAGACAAGGTTTCTTTGTGTAGCCCTGGCTGTCCTGGAACTCACTTTGTAGACCAGGCTGGCCTTGAACTCCGAGATCCACCTGCCTCTGCCTCCCTAGTGCTGGGATCAAAGGCTTGTGCCACCACCTGGCTTTTTTTTTTTTTTTTTTTTTTTTTTTTGTAAAACAAAAAGTCACTAGTGTGCCACTGTCTCCCAGCTATAATATTTTAAAGGTTCTTCCTACCTGCATCCGTTCTCCTGACAGGGAAGGGGGACTGAGGGGCTAGCCTTCTCTCCATTGAGACCTGGGGTGGGATGGGGATACTCATTTTGTCCTGAAACAATTGGGGCCCCGCTGCTGAACAAGAATGAAACTATCGGGGGAGGACGGGAGGAGGGACGATAGGGGGATCTGTGGTTGGTATGTAAAATGAATAAAAAATGTCTTAATAAAGAAAAAAAAAAGAATGAAACTATCATGACAACTAGGGGAGACTGGGAACTCCCCGTGCTAGCGAGAACGGGGCGGTTGGTAGGCATACAGACTAATGACCCCTCTCCCTTACCGTCAGTCCTGTTCCACCAGGACAGAGAGTGTGGGACAAGGGATTTTGGTTGGACCAGAATTGGGGTCTGCTCTCTTGGGATGGAAAAAGGTGGGCTTACCGAGATTTCTAGGCTTCACCAGGCCGTGAAGTTTGCCTGCCTCCCTCAAGGTGGCGCTCGTGTGTAGAGGCCAGAGGACAATTTCTCTTCCACCTTTATGTGGCTTCTAGGGTTGGGACTCGGGTCTCCATTCACGCATCTTGCCGGCCTCCTGTTCTGTTTTAATGTGCATTGGTGTCCTGCTTGTGCACTACATGCATGAGTTACAGATAGTTGTGGTGAGCCACGAGCCCCTGGGTGCTGGGAACTGAACCTGAGTACTTCGGAAGGGCTCTTAACCACTAAACCATCCCTCCAGCCTGGCCCCCCTTTTTAATGTGATCTTAGAGATAGCTTGTTCAATACATTTCTTTTAATGAAAAACTTCATTTATTTTATTTGTATGAGTCTTTTGCCTGCATGTATGTATGTGTACTGTGTGTGCGCGCGCGCGTGCCTGGCTATTTTCACAGCCCCTTGTCTTGTTTTTATTTATTTATTTATTTATTTTTTGTTTTGTTTTTCGAGACAGGGTTTCTCTATGTAGCCCTGGCTGTCCTACAACTTACTCTTTAGACCAGGTTGGCCTTGAACTCAGAGATCTGCCTGCCTTTGCTTCCCAAGTGCTGGGATTAAAGGCATGCACCACAACAGCCAGGCTTTTAATTTTATTTTTTTTAAAGGTTTATTTTATGTGTCTTTGTCGGCATGTAGGTTGGTCAGTGCACCGTGTTGAATCCCCTGGAACTGGAGTTACAGACCATTGCTGTGAGCCACCATGTGGGTGCTAGGAATTGAACTGAGGGCCTCTAGAAGAGCAGCCAGTGCTCTTGACCACTCAGCCACCTCTACAGCCCACCTCACCCCCCCATTTTGATTTGTGAGACAGGGTCTCACTGTGTAGCTCTGGCTGGTCTAGAACTCATTATATAGACCAAGCCGGCCTCAAGCTTGCAGCCATACTCCTGTTTCTGCCTAATTTTTTTTAAAATAACAGTTTCCAGTCTAGTTCTCTTATTTTGCAGGTGTGCCAAATGGGGTCCTCCAGTGGGAGTTGTGTTCACACAGGGCAATAGGCAAGTGGGGTGGAGAGCCATGGAGTCCTTCCCTGTGTCCAGCTCTGTTCACCTTTGTCTGCTTTCTGGACTTTCCTAAACGTGGTATGAGTCACACTGTCCTGGGCTCTATGCCCAGCTTTACCGTCCATGTTCTCACATGTCAGTATGGACCAGGGTGACAGTTTTCTCCCCTGTCCAGGGGGACAGTAATTCTACTTTTATTTATTTAATTTATTTATTTGGTATTTGGTCTTTCCAAGACTGGGTTTCTCTGTGTAGCCCTGGCTGTCCTTGAACTTGCTCTGTGGGCCAGGCTGGCCCCAAATTCAGTTATCTGTCTGCCTCTGCCTCCTGAGTGCTACAATCAAAGGTATGCAGGACAGTCATTCTAAAAAGCGGTGACCCGTGGGCTGTGGTGTGGGTGGCATGCACAGTCCCAGGCCTCTGCCCTGCCTCAGTTCCTCCAACCTTCAATCCTTTCCCAGTACCAGCGTGGGGAAGAATGCCGGAGCCACAGGACATCCGGTCCCCAGTTGGTCCCCAGCACCAGATACCTCTACAGTCTTCCTTTCCTGTGATGAGTCACTGTACATGGGCTCTAGAGACCCAGGAGTCCCCACTTTGCCACAAACAATACCGCTGCCATGGAAACGGGGCCTCCCCTTTCCTCTTTCGCTGATTGATTTCACCGCATCATCTCCCACAAAGTGTCTGTTTCCTAGATCTCAGCTTTTGACTCACAGATTGACTTAAGTGCCTCTCATTTCGTGTCCCCAAGAGAGCTCGTCTCTTCGGGACTCTCAAGGTCTGTCTGTGCCCCTTATTCTCCGGGTGACACTTCACTTTTTTTTTTGGTTTTTTGAGACAGGGTTTCTCAGTGTAGCTCTAGCTGGCCTGTCTAGACCAGGCTCGCCTCGAACTCAGAGATCCGCCTACCTCTGCCTCTGGAGTGCTGGGATTAAAGGCGTGCGCCACCACCGCCCGGCTGGGATGACACTTTTCTCCAGCAGTATCCTTTCTCTTTCTGGGCATCCCATATCTGCTCTCAAGACCCCATCATTCCAGAGCAAGCTGAGAACCCTTAGCATGAGAAGCGCAAACACAAGGGAGTTGGCCGGGGAAACAAACTGACAGGGGCTGGCGCCACCTGCTGGCAGGGTTGGGAGACGCTCCACCTTCTCCGCTGGTCTCGCGGTTTTCAGGGAGTCATCCCAAGTGTTGGTTCATCCCTCCATTCCTCTCCTGGTGGAGTAAGCGAGGAGCTCTTGCTAAGCCGAGGGGGGTGTGGGAGGGCAGATACCAAGCCCCTTGCCTATTGAGGGGTTAAACTGAGGTTTGAACACTATCCAACACGAGGCTATCGAGATGGCCGGTTGAGTAATGGCTCAAAGCCTAAAGATCCCGGGACTCGCACGAGTTGTCCTCTTACCACACGTGGCAGGTAGGCACCCATATACACACACAAAGTAAATAAATGAATGAAAAAAATTATTTTAAGTAGTCAATATGGACAGGCCTGGCAGCTCCCACCTGCAATCCCAGCATTTGGGAAGCTGAAGCAGGAGGATCACTATGAGTTTGAGGCCCGCCTGGGTTATAGAGTAAGACCCTGTTTCAACAACAAAACAAAAACACCAACATTTATTAAGCCCTTTATCTTTTTTCTGTGTAGCCCTGGCTGTCCTGGCGCTCACTATGTCGACCAGGCTGGTCTCGAACTCGGAGATCGGCCTGCCTCCGCCTCTGGAGCGCTAGGATTAAACACATGGGCTACGGCCACCCGGCCCACCGTGCCTCTTACTAAACACTTTCTGTGTACTTGGTGCCTTCAGTATTTTGCATGTTGCTTCTCAATGGCCACAATAATCGATCCCGCCCCCGCCCCCAACAACTGCTACTCTTCTTTCCACGTTATAGACATGGAACTCAGGCTCAAAGACGCAGGGCAGAGTGTTCATCGGTGGTGAACAGGTACCCTCACCTGCAAGCTCCTGCTTGGACAGCGAGGAAGAAATGAAGGGAGAAGAAAGGAAATGGTGGGCTATGTGGACAGCGGAAGGTGAACAAGCAAAGTTAGGGAAGGAATGAGGCATTCTGAGAGGAGACAGACTGACAGCAGGGTCAGAGGTCAGAAGTCAAAGGAGTTAGAAACTAGGCCTGAACTCCAGCCTCACTTAGCCGGGTAGACAGGTCGGCCACAGAACACAGCATCCCAAGCTGTTGGTCAGTATCTGTGTGCCTAGCTTTGAACATCAGGACTCGGGGCCAACCAATCAACAGTGAATGCTGCCAGAGCCCTGGGCAGTCACCTGCCTGGAAGAGCACATGCAGCTTACAGACACAAGTGAAGAGACACCAAGCAGCCTCTCTAACTTCTGGAACTGTGTGCAGGAAGCAGCCTGGCATCTAACCCTCAGGCTCCTGGGGAAGCTGCAGCTGAGGGAGTAGAGTGCAGGACCTAGAAATCACCGTCTGTCTCTGCTGGAACACATCCCCTCAGTGCTGAGCTGGAGATGTGTGCTAGCAACAGCCCATTGCTCACACTGCAGTCATAGGGAGAGACTTCATCTTGGGAACTGGCAATTGCTACAAATCAGGGCTTCTTCCCTTCCTGGTTGCTAAACACTTGTCAGAATCCCAGACTCCAGAACACCAGAGGATGTCCCACGCTCCTCTAGTCCTCAGTTCACAGGAGGGAAAACTAAGGTCCAGGGCCGCGCATTCCTTGTCTCACGACCCTGTCTCAACAACAAAGAGCGCTTGCTGCTCAGGCCTGAGGGCCTGAGTTCAGATTTCTAGCACATGGTAAAAGCATGCATGCAAATGGTAAAAGCATGCATGCGTCACTCCAGTACTGTGTGAGCAGAGATAGCATCGCTGGTGCTTGCTGGCTCCAGTCTAGCTCAGGGCCAGAGAGAAACCCCGTCTCCAGGAAATAAGGTAGAGGCATAGAATAGGACACTGGATACCCTCCTCTGGCTCCCATGTTGTACATATTCACCCACAAACATCAACACACACACCCCTGTGGCCAAAGGATGACAAGTGACTTATTCAGAATCACATGATTCTTTTTTCCTTCTTTTATTCATTCATTGACTCGACAAACACATTTATCAACAGTACCTGCTGTGTGCCAGACTTTATAGAGACACCCGGGTGATATCCTAAGACAGCTTTCATGCTGGTGCGGCATGCAGAACACGCAAACTGGTTTTTAACACATGAGCTGAGCGCAAAGGAAGGGTAAGCACACGGGGCCAGCCAGCGCAGCCTCGGGAGGTGTGCACGTCATCCCAGAGCACGTGATCCCCAGTGAGGTCTGAAAGGAAAAGCAAGCCACTCATACTTTGTTTTAGCATCCTCTACCTGCCATCACTTCTGAGTCATCAGCCAAAGAGAATGAGCACCGTGGATGGCATTCGTAGTTTGGGAGCTCCAGATTAGGTGCTGCAGAGCAGAGGGACCCAGGACATTCCATGGCAAATCTCATGCAGACAGTACCCCTTGCTGGCCGGAGGACCGAGGGCCAGGGGTGGAGGTGCTGGAATGGGAGGTATGGTGGGAAGCAGCAGTTGAACATCTGGCAGTGGGTATGTGACAGGGGATGTTCAAGGAGAGATGAACGTGTCCAGCTGCTGTACAGCGAGTGTCTGTGTACCAGATGCTGGGATCACAGGAGTTTCCGGTGTACTGAAGGAGCAAACAAAAGCAGGTACTGTACAGTGTGGCCAATGGGCACGCAGAAGTGACAGGGGAGGTTTATGGGAGGTGCCATCCAAGTCAAGTTCTGTCCTGCAAGATGAACAAGCATTATGCAGAGGGAGAGTGAGGACAGGAACAGCTGGTCCAGCTGGACAGGAACCAGGCCACAGAGGACACTCTTTACACACCAGGGAGCTGGATGGACAGACGGCAACAGAGAACATTCAAGTAGCATTTTAGGGCATTTTTTGTTTTTAAATATTTTTGACAGGGTCTCATGTATCCTCCTCAAGGTTGGTATGTAGATGCAACTACTCTTGAACTCCTGATTCCTGCCTCCACCTCTCAAGTGTTGGGATTACAGATTACACCACCATGCATGCCGGGAAATTTTTCTATTTTAAATGTATGGTTGTTTTGCCTGCATGTATGTCCACACAACATGTGTGCCTGGTGCCCAAAGGGGGCGGAACAGGGCTTTAGATCCTCTGAAACTGAAGGTTGTGAGCTATCACGTAGGTGCTGGGAATTGAACTCAGGTCTTCTGGAAGAACAACCAGTGCTTTTAAGCACTGAACCATCTCTCCAGGCTGGCAGGAAATACTCTGAGGTTTCATTTAGGCCTTGTCGAGGTACTGGGTGCAAGTCGCAGGAAAGCAGAAATCCCAGATGGTTCAGTTTTCGGGCTTGAGCAACCAGGTGGGTGGTGATGTCACTTACTGGAAGTTAGGAAGGCTGGGGGTGGGGGCTTTTTGGGGACAGAGCCAGATTTTTTTTTGTTTTGTTTTTTGTTTTTGGAGACAGGGTTTCTCTGTGTAGCTTTGTGCCTTTCCTGGAACTCACTTTGGAGACCAGGCGGGCCTTGAACTCACAGAGATCCGCCTGCCTCTGCCTCCCTAGGGCTGGGATTAAAAGCGTGCGCCACCACCGCCCGGCCCAGAGCCAGAATTAAAAAGTTGGGGCTCTTAGTTCCTAAGCCAGGGCCTGTTCACCATGTAGGGCTGTTGAGAGAAGTGTGAAGGATTCCAGAGGAAGAAATGGTAGTGTAGGGGAAGGAGAGTACCAAAAAGAAACAAGCCAACAGTAACAGTAGCACCCACAAAGGCAGCCACCTGCTGCTTTACAGGCACCCGGAGAAATGCCCCAGTGACCCTGGTTCCTCAGGCAGGTGCGGTGGAACACGCCAATAGTCTCCGCATTTGGGAGGTGGGGACAGGAAGTCAGGACTTGGATGTCCTCTTTAGCAATACAGAAAGTTCACGGCCAGATGGGGTACAGCACCTTTCAAAATAAAACAAAATGAGCCTAGTATGGTGGCGTACGTCTTTAATCTCAGCACTCCACAGGAGTCAGAGGCAGGCAAACCACTGAGCTGGAGGCCAGCCTGGTCTACATAGTGAGTTCCAGGTCAGCTAGGACTACACAGTGAGACTCTGTCCCAAAAACAAACAATAGAAGCCCCCCAAAACAAACCACTTCAAATCCTTCTGCCTCCATCCCCTGCTTTATTTCCTTCATAGTGACTGTCACTACCAGAAGGACACCACTTACATATACATACACTGCCACCTACCCAACACCCTATAGAACACTGGCTTCACCCCAGGGCAGGTTTCACCCTCCTTGTCCTCTAGTGTCTGCCCAGTGCCTAGGACAACGTGCAGCACAATAAATGTTCAATCAATGCTCACCGGATGAAATGTTTCAAATCTTTATCAGGTAGTTATTATTTCCCTGCAGACCCAGCCAAGCTGGACTCAAACGCCTGTATCCTTCACAATTCCCCTGAACAGTTTCTCCAAGGGACTCAGGAAGGCACTGGACAGGAAGGCAGAGTAAGCTGCTGGAGGGTCTCTGCCACCTAGGGTTTCCATTCTGGATCTGGAATAGACTGCCATCAAGGTCTCCTGTCTTCCACGTGTGGGATGTCCTGCCCAAAATGGAGGGGCAGGTGGGGGCTTGAGGCCAAATCTGAGTTGTGCAGGGCAGAGCACAGACCAATGGTTCCAGAGGCAGGCAGCACCTGGGGCCTGGCCCACCTGACCACTGGGAGGCAGGTGACTGTCCTGCAGCGCCCCCTGGTGGCCACACGTACTCAATGCTTCCCAGAATCCGTGAAAGTGAGCAACTCTGTCTCAGCAGCAAGCCCCGCTGGCCATCTCCCACACAACCTCCAGAAACACTACCCCAACTCCCTCCCTCCCAGTGACCCTCACTCCTTTAGTGGTTCCAACAGACCCACCTCAGCCAGGAAGTATCCCCAAACTGCTCCAACTTTAAATGTCACTCCTCTGAGGTCTCCAAGCACTGAATGCCACTGTCCACCTCTGGGGGTCCAGGGCTGGAGTCCGACAACTCTAACTTTGAACGGTGGAATTCCCAAGTCCCAGCTGTGTAACCTAGGGAGGTCACTTACCATCTCTGAGCCTCAGATCTCTTGATGTCAAGCACTGATAGAAATTACAGTTCCAAGGCGGGCGGTGGGGGCGCATGCCTTTAATCCCAGCACTCGGGAGGCAGAGCCAGGCGGATCTCTGTGAGTTTGAGGTCAGCCTGGTCTACAAAGCGAGATCCAGGACAGGCTCCAAAGCTACACAGAGAAACCTTGTCTTGGAAATAATAATAATAATAATAATAAAAAGAAATTACAGTTCCATGGAATTATGAAGATGGAATGATATCAAAGGTCAGGTTAGGTGGCCCAGTACACTAAGGCCTGGAGTTCAATCCCTGGGGCCTTCACAATAGGGGAGCAACTATGACCTCCACATTCAGAATAAATACAGTACATGCACACATTAAATACATGTAATAAAATAACAATAGAAGATCAAATACAAAGTTTGAAGAACCTAAGAAGAGAGCCTTCAGGAAACGGAATGTCCTTCCTCACCCCCCTTTCTGACTTCCTCTTCCCTTTTCTGAAAAGGAAGCAGACCGGTACAGGAGGCAGAAGGGAGTCACAGAACCGAGTCTCTGCAAATGAGAAGGGTCAGACTTCACATGCCTTCCACCACGCCCGCCCGCCCGCCTGCTCTGACCTCCTGCGCATTACAGTCTATGCTACACAAGTCACCCTAGCCAAAACCCCTCCTCACATCTACCCTAGCGCTCCGCCCCAGGGAGGAAAAGTCCTCACAGGGAGCCATGTTTACTGCCTCCCTGTCCCAGGAGGGCAACTAATCCCCTCCCTCACCCGGCCGAAACCAGAGCTGGCACCATGGCGTGGGGAATCTAAGGGCCAACTGTCACAGCTCCAGTATCGCTGCCTCCTGAATGCCAGGGCCCAGACTGGAGTCCCAGAGGGGCCTTGTTAGCCAGCTGTCCTGGGGGCCCAGGCTCCAGCCCGGCCCCTTGTTGTTGCTATCCCTGGGGGAGTCAGAGAGTGCGGGCGATCTGGCAGTGAGGAGCAGAAATGTTGTCTGTTCAGGCCCAAGCATGGGGGCTGCGAAGGGCTTGGAGATTCAGGCCGAGAGACGAAGGGGCCAGTCACCTACCCTTCCTGCCAAGCTTGGTGGCTCTTCAAGCCCCAGAGATGGTTTTGCCCTCACACTTACCTCTTTGGCCATGTAGGCCAGTTCCTACGTTTCCATGAGAGCAGGGATCAAGTCTGAGATCACTTTCAAACAGTGTGCAGAATTTCACCCAGTATATTCCCATTAGTTGAAATAAGTTGTGGGCAGGCCATAAAGCTCACAGGTAAAGAAGCTTACCACCAAGTCTGAGGACGTGAATTTAACCCCTGGAACTTCCTCAAGTTGTCCTTGGTCTCCTACATATGTGCTGTGGTATACACACACACACACACACACACACACACACACACACACACACACACTGTCTCTCTCACATACATACACACAAAAAAACATAAATACTGAAAAACTGTTCTAAAGAAATTAACACACTGAGGGCATTCCAGCCTAAGGGAGAAAATTAACTGCACATTTTCAGCAAGAAAGGCAGAGGCTAGACATCCAGGTGTGTTTCCAACAAGAGGTATGAAGAAAGGAAAACATGCGCAAATATGTAATACCAGTACTTAGGAGGTGGACACTGGAGTTCAAGGCTGGTCTCAGTTACATGAGTGAGACCTTGTCTCCAAAAAAAAAAAAAAAGCCATCAAGCCGGGCTCATGCCTTTAATTCCAGCAGGGAGGCAGGTGGATCTCTTTGAGTTCGAAGCTAGCCTGGTCTACCGAGTGAGTTCCAGGACAGCCAAGGCTATACAGAAAAACGCTGTCTTGAAAAATGAAACAAAATAAAAAAAAAGGCCATCAAGATGGCTCAGTGGATAAAGGGGCTTGCTGCCAAATCTGACAACCTGAGTTCAATCCCTGGGACCCACAAGGTAGAGGGAGACAGAATCTGTTCCCACACGGTCTCTGACCTTCATGTGTATGCTGCAGCATGTGCATACCCATAACATATAAATAAAATGCAACTGAGTGAGAATAAGGAGGAGAGGGAAACCTCACAACGCATGGGAGGGAGGCTGAACTGAGGCAGCCTGTGAGGAGTAGGGCAACAGGGAGGGGTAGGGGGTAAACTGAGGCTACTGTGTCTCCCTCCTTCTCCGGGCCTCAGGTGTTAGGTGTGTGCTTCGACTGTGGTACTTACTATGTAGACAGCCAAGAACGGGCACTCAAGACTACTCAGAGTAGCTGGGCGGTGGTGGCACACGCCTTTAATCCCAGAACTCGGGAGGCAGAGCCAGGCGGATCTCTGTGAGTTCAAGGCCAGTCTGAGCTACAGATTGAGTCCCAGGAAAGGCGCAAAGCTACAGAGAGAAACCCTGTCTCGAAAAGCCAAAAAAAAAAAAAAAAAAAAAAAAACCCAAAACCAAAAACCAAAAACTAAACTAAACCAAACCAAACCAAAAAACAACAACAAAAAGATTGCTCACAGTAGACAGGGAAACAGGTCTCACAATATGCACTTTCTACCACACTCCTGTCATTGGTGTTCCACAGGGACCGCGTCCCACTGGGTCACCTTTCCTGCCCTGCACCGCATACATGCACACATATACACACATACACATAAGGATCCCATGCTCACAGCCAATTCAACAAGAACAAAGTCCTTTGGTTCCTTATCATGAAAATAGGAATTGGGAGACTAGAGGTTAGAAGATGGGGGTGGGGGGGATGACAGAAATAGAGACACATACACAGAGGTGGGACACAGATAGAGAGGATAGAGAGACAGACATCCTCAGGGTCCGGAAGGGGACCAATACACACCCTCCACACCCTTCTGTCACAGGGCAGAGTAGAGGGAGTGGCATGAGACAGGCCTCTGCCCTCATAGCCCTCAGTGAGGATGGCCACTAGGGCAGGGAAGCTAAGCAGGGCCGGTGCACAGCAGCCTAGCCTGGGTAGCATTAGCCTGTACAAAGGAGGCCTCAGCTTCAGGAGCAAGAGCAGTTTCCTTGCCCCCACAGCTCCTCTGCACCTGTCAGCTCTGCAGACACCTGTTCCCGGGGCTACACCTGAGTCATCCACACATACCTTGCCCTCCAAGCTCACAAGCTTACATGTGCTCTGTCGGGCCTTGGAGGATGTCTGGAGTCAGAGCATGACCTTTTGTGTGTGGGTGTGTGCGATAAGAAACCCTGAGGGCTGATGCATCCCTGATGCATAGGGGGCTCCAGTGGGGAAATGTGGGTCCAGTGGGGTGCCACCTTACCCACTCCACCTTCAGCGTGTCCCTTGCCCCTTTAGCAGCCATCCTGTCCCCACTCACGGTTCTGCACTTTGTTTTCTTCCCTGACCAAATCCCCAAGGCTTTTTTGGTCATTAACCTCCTGCCTTAATTGGTTTAGTGGGGAGGGGAGCAGAGACAGGGCAAACTCTGGGGGTTATCTTGTTTCAGTGAGGGCAGGAAAGCTCAAAACAGCTGCCGGCCCCACTATCACCTGGTCCCCGGCAGGAACTCCCCCCCCCCCCCCCCCCGAAAGAAACTCCCATGTTCCCCTAGTCCAGGCTCCCGGGACAGAGAGACAACAGGAGTCAGAAGGGCCACTCTGCAGTTCCCTCCTACTCCTGCTGGAGGGCACGAGCATCCAATCCCACAAAAGGCGTTGATAAGCTGTTCAACCCTCCACGCAGGGGCACCCCCTCCCCTGCTCGGCTTCCCAGGTTCCTCAGCCCAAGATTCTCCATCCCTGAAAGGAAAAAGCCAGCCTGCTGGGCACAAGCCATCAGCCCCTCCCACCCCTCGGCACTCTGCTCAGACTCCGGCCCTCCTCCTGATGGGCGAACTCACTCTTTCCAAGAACCAGTTGAGGGAACTGGGCCTAAACTTAGCCCTCCCGGCCTCACTGTGCCCTGTCTGTGAGGCTACCTCAATCTTTACGCAAAACCTAACTACATGACTAATTCAGATTTCTGTTTCCCAAAGCATTCCAGATCAAAAAAAAAAAAAAAAAAAAAAAAAAAAAAAAAAAAAAGACATCCTACACACCGGGACATACCCACTTACTGCTGTCCAATTTGGGGAAGGTTGCTCTTAAGAGTCTGACCTCAAGACCTCTAGACGTGGTCCCATCCCTTCTCCTGGATAAAAGAAGTTCTGAGGATACAGGGTAGAGGAGAAGAAAAGACTGCAATACAATCTAACTCCCTCTCAACTCTCTGTCAAGTCTTACAAACTTATTTCTGATCTCTTTCAACAGATCTCTAGGTCCAAAGGGGCTGAATTACGGGTTAATAAAAGTACGAGGCCAGTGAAACAGCGGAATGACAATCCCAAGGGACAAATGACCTCCTCCACTGCATTCGTGGCTCAGGCATGAAGGAAATCTGGGTTCCCAATCTAGCAAAGTTCAAGGCCCCAAACTAAGTCACACGAAGCCTTTAGGACCCTTCCGGGCTCCCTGCTCAGCCCCCCCACCCCCATCCTCTCCCTCCGCGCCTCCTCTTCCTCACCGGGTCACTGCACGGGCCACGGGGGGGCGCGAACTAACTCACCTCCCAAGCCGCGGTCTCTGAGATCCCGGAACTGGGGGGCTGGAGGAGGGGGTGATTTACTTAAGAGATGAGGGGACCACATCCGCTACCAGGGGTCCCCACCCCACCCCAACGCCCCTTCCCGGCCCCCACGCAGCTCGGAGCCCTGCTCCTCCCACCACAGCGGCCGCGGGCTTTGTCTGCTCCGCGAGCGCTCTCCCGGAGGCCTGAGCCTGTGGACTCCGCGATCGCGCGGGGAGGAGGGAGGACACTGCGGCCACGCGGCCGCTCCGCCCCGGCCCTCATTACCATAAGAAAAAGGCCCGGGACCCGCGGGGCCGGGGAACGACGTCTTTCCACGCCCGCTCCCTTCCCGCATACCGCCGGCTCCTGAAAATTCCCGGACCACGACTCCCAGCCCACCCGAGGCTTTGCCGGTGAGCGGTAGGCAGAGCCCGAGGGGCGCATCCCCTCCTTGCCCGAATTCGTCCCCGCGCCCGAGGGCGGGAAACTACAACTCCCGGCATGCCCCGGGCGCCCCCGGCGCGCCCCCCTCCCGTCAGTTCCATGCTGCTCCATCCAGTTCATTTAAAACAAAAGAGTTTGAGCGCTGGAAGGGGCTGGGCTCTATTGGGGGCCACTGAGCGACGCTCCGGGACTGGGGCTCGGTGCGGGAGCCTAAGGGGGCGTCTGCTCGGCGGAGGGTAGAGACTCCGAGGCGGAGGGGTGGGGGCCAGGGCCCGCAGCCCCCCACCCCACCCCGTCACCCAGGAGGAGAGGAGATCTGCTTTCTTGGTTTTGCTTCTTTTCCCCCACCCCCACCCGGGGGCTGGGGCGAGGGGAGTCAGGTTACAGGGTGCTTGGGGAGGGGGGCTTAGGGGTGGGTCTATCTTTCTATCTCGCTTTCTTCCCCCCTCCCCAGCTCTTTGTTCCCCCTCCCCACACACCCCCTCCTCTCCTCTCCCCTCCCCTCCTCTCTCCTCTTCTCCCTTCCACCACCTCTCTCTCTCTCCCTCTCTCTCTCCCCCAGCTTTTGTTTCGCCATGCCTAGTCTAGTGGTATCTGGAATAATGGAAAGAAATGGGGGCTTTGGAGAACTAGGATGTTTCGGGGGAAGCGCTAAGGACCGAGGGCTGCTGGAAGACGAGCGCGCCCTTCAGCTGGCTCTTGATCAACTCTGCCTCCTGGGTTTGGGGGAGCCCCCCGCCCCCACGGCGGGCGAGGACGGGGGAGGTGGGGGGGGCGGCGCCCCCGCGCAGCCGGCCGCCCCCCCGCAGCCGGCCCCGCCGCCGCCGCCCGCGGCGGCCCCGGCCGCCCCGAGCGCGGCCCCCGCGGCGCAGACGCCCCAGCCCCCCACCGCCCCCAAAGGGGCGAACGACGCCAAGCTCTGCGCGCTCTACAAAGAGGCCGAGCTGCGCCTGAAGGGCAGCAGCAACACCACGGAGTGCGTTCCCGTGCCCACCTCCGAGCACGTGGCCGAGATCGTGGGCAGGCAAGGTAAGCGGTCGTCCCGACACCGCGAGGGTTGGAGTGGGGGCTTGCCGTCCCCGGCGCCGAAAGTTCACCGCTTCCCTCTTTGCCCGCCTCTGGCTCTGTCCCTTCCCGACAAAGGGGGCCCCGCCCCCTGCCCAGATTCCAAGTGCCACAAAGTTCCCTGCTACCCCTGGTCGGGACGGTTCTCGGGACCCTTCCTCCCCTGGGGCTCCGCCCGTAGACAAAGAAATATCCTGGAACTGGGAAAGGAAAGGGGAGGGGGAGCTGCCTCCCAATCCCGGGGTCTGTGCGGAGGGGGTGTCGGCTCCCGGCTGGAAGGACTGACGGAATGTGCAATTACTTGGAAGTCTCTACTCTGGTATCTGCTTGTAGACTGGGGAGGGGGCACTCCTGGGACCTTCTGCCGTTGGAGTTGGGGACTCTAAGGGAGACCCGGTCCATGAAGCCCGACTGAGGATCTGTCTCTTTGTTGGGCTGAGTGTAGGAATGAAAGGGGGTGTGGCCCAGGGGAGGGTCCCAGTCTGGGGAGAGGTGATGAGGGAGCCCTTGGCAGAGAGGGGTTGTGTGGTCGCCTGCAGGCGACCTTGTGTGAGCTCTTGTGTTTGGGGAGGGTGTCTCTGAGGAGGTACCAGCCCTGGCGTGGGCCTCTCCTTCTCGGTCTTGCTTTTGTTCTGGGCTGGCCACGGCCTGGAGCCAGGGGTCTGAAGAGGAGTCTCTGAGTGAACGCGTGGGACAGGGCAGGAGGGGCATGTTGGTGAAGGAGCAGAGAAACCTCCACTTGGAAATTGGGTGGTGGGTGCGTGTCTGGGTGTGCTGGGAGGGGTGTTGGATTAAGCCAATGGAGTATGTTACCACACCCTCCTCAGCCCAGCATCCCTGGATGGGTGGGAGTGTTGGTAAGTACCCAAATTGAGCAGCCTGGATCTTGGGGACCCTTCCCCTCCTAGCTTCTCGGGGGGGGGGGGGGGCGGGATTTGGATATTGCAAAGGGGCCGGGCTGAGAGGTGGAGTGGGGGAGGAGCTGTCCCACCGTGGGGAACAATGGAGGGTCTGCATTCCGCGGGAGCAGAGGAGGAGGCCAGTTCCTGGCGGTGGAGGGGAGACAGGCTGGGGCTCCTACTCCGAATCCCACTTCATCCCCCCCAAGTATTGGGGCTGGAGGATTCGGAGGGGAATGCTGAGTGGAGGAGGGGAGCTTGCCACTCCCCTGCACAGCGCCCCCTCCCTCAATCTCTTGGGGTATCTGGTTTAGAAAGTTGGATTTCCCCTCCTTGTCAGGGACACTGGAAATCCAGAGCCTGGAATTGGGTGGGGATATTAATATCTCTACTTGGGTGAGGTCTTGGAAGGCACCAGAATTTAATGGGGTCCTTTTTACTCTTTCTGCCTTCTTATGAAATGTGTCTGTCCATCATAAAAGTAGAATTCCTTCTATTCAGAGCACACATGTCCGCCCTTCCCCATTCCAGAAGTCCACGGAAGTCCTCTCCTGTCTCCCCTTCCCCCTGCTGCCGCAGTTTTAGTGTTTCTCTGACTCTGGCCTCCTGGAGATGCTGCAGGGTTGCAGATCCCAAGAGGCTGAGGCGCTGGGTTCTCGACCGCCCCGCTCTGGCCTTTCTCCTTAGTCTTCTACCAGGGCCTGTGCTCCCACACTCCCCCACCCTCAAAGATACCTAGCTCCCACTGAAGTTTTGGGATCCAGAACTTAAGAGCCAGAGCTTAGGTGCCCGTCAGATGGCATGTAAGTAGAGTTGGCCGAACGCACCGTGCTTTGGTCCTCCAAGCCTCACAAATCCAACCATCATCCACTGCTGTTAAAGCAGCAAGCTGTGGGCTTGACAGCAAGTAGGACTTCTTAACTGCCAACAGGTCTGAGAAGAAGGGGAGGGGTCAAATTTTCCTTCCTAATACATTTTAAAGATAGGTCCCTAACCCACCGTGTCCCTCCGATCCCTTAGGGTTAGAAAAACACTGTTTGGAGTGGAGAAGGAGGGGAAAGAAAAGCTCCCACGGAGGCCTGGAGTTGAGGGTTGGGGCAGAGTCAGAAGAGTGGGCACTTGACTTTGGATTGGTAGTGTGTTGAGGAGGTGAGGAAGGACACACAGCAGGGAGATGTGCCTGGGGAGCCCAGGGAGTTTGGGAGAATGGGGTAAAGGCCTGGTGTGTATTGATCTACGCTGTGTGCTGGGGAAGAGAGACCGGAGAGAGCCTGTGTGCGTGGGGAGGGGTATTCTCTCACCCCGAAAGACTGCTCGGAGGACGCGCTCTGCCCACTGCTTTAGTACCCTTAGGTACATGTCCTCACGCTCCTGTCTGGAGGAGGGGTGAGGGGCTCTGAGGCTCCATGAAGGCAGGCAGGTTCACCCAGCCACTGAGGTCTCCAGCCTTTCCCGACAGGTAGCCCAGCCTTCCTTCTTGCCCCTCCTCTTCTCTTTGTCTCACTTTTCTTTCTCTTCCTGCCTCTCTCCCCAAGCTCCCAGCCCTAACCTGATACTCCTTCAAAGCAGGAGCATGCATGGGTCCAGAAATGCCCAGTTCTCTCAGCCTCCAGTACATCTCAGCCCTGCTCTCAGGGGCAGAGAATAGGAGTACAGGTCCTCTGGATGACACTGTCTTCTACTTCCTCTCCCATGAAATTCTGTCCTTGACCCCCACCCCGTTCCCTCCTCTCCCCCAAGTCCCACACTGTGTCAGGTGCTGCAAACTCTTTAGGATGTGGAGAATCACAGAGATTGTGGGGCAGAAGGCATGGGGAGGTCACAGCAGACGGTGGTCAATGTCCCTGGGTGAGCTAGAGGACAGACTCTTTTAATGAATGGAGGTCACATGAGTAGACTGTGGCTTAATGAGTCATTGGAGTTTTGAGCAAAGATCAGGAGAGGTGACGGAGAGGTTGGTAACTTGGAAGGGCGGATGCTCAGCGAAGAGTTTGGGAGCAGGTTTTGGGTTAGCCGCTTTTCTGAAAGGTTCTGAAGGAGGTTGTGTTGGGGGAGTGTATTTGGGAGGCCCCGAATGGTATGCAAGAGAAATTAGTGCATCGATTGATCGGTCAAGTGGGGTGGGCTGTGTGTGTGGTTATGAGGGTGTCACTGGCCCAGCTGAAGGGTTCCTGGGAGGCTAGGATTCTGGAGACGATCCCAGTACCCTGTCCTGTGAATTTCTTTCTACTTTGTTCAGGCTGCAAGATTAAGGCTCTGAGAGCCAAGACCAACACCTACATCAAGACTCCTGTGCGAGGTGAGGAGCCGGTGTTCATGGTAACTGGAAGGCGGGAAGACGTGGCCACAGCCCGGCGGGAAATCATCTCAGCCGCTGAGCACTTCTCCATGATAAGAGCCTCACGAAACAAGTCTGGCGCCGCCTTTGGCGTGGCCCCTGCTCTGCCGGGCCAGGTGACCATCCGTGTACGAGTGCCCTACCGTGTGGTGGGACTGGTGGTGGGCCCCAAGGGAGCGACCATCAAACGCATCCAGCAGCAGACCAACACATACATCATCACCCCCAGCCGGGACCGCGACCCGGTGTTCGAGATCACCGGCGCCCCGGGCAACGTGGAACGTGCGCGGGAGGAGATCGAGACGCACATCGCCGTGCGCACCGGCAAGATCCTCGAGTACAACAGCGACAGCGACTTCCTGGCTGGCAGCCCCGACGCAGCGCTGGACAGCCGCTACTCCGATGCCTGGCGGGTGCATGCTCCCGGCTGCAAGCCGCTGTCCACCTTCCGGCAGAACAGCCTGGGCTGCATCGGCGAGTGCGGCGTGGACTCGGCCTTCGAGGCCCCGCGCCTAGGCGATCAGGGCGGGGACTTCGGCTACGGCGGGTATCTGTTTCCGGGCTACGGCGTGGGCAAGCAGGACGTGTACTACGGCGTGGCGGAGACTAGCCCCCCGCTGTGGGCGGGCCAGGAGAATGCCACGCCCACCTCGGTGCTCTTTTCTGCCTCCTCCTCCTCCTCTTCTTCAGCCAAGGCTCGCGCGGGCCCGCCTGGCGCACACCGCTCTCCAGCCACCTCTGCGGGGCCGGAGCAGCTGGCTGGGCTCCCTCGGCGGCCGCCTGGAGAGCCACTGCAGGGCTTCTCTAAACTGGGGGCGGGAGGGCTGCGGAGCCCAGGCGGCGGGCGGGACTGCATGGTGTGCTTTGAGAGCGAAGTGACAGCCGCCCTGGTGCCCTGTGGACACAACCTTTTCTGCATGGAGTGTGCAGTACGCATCTGCGAGAGGACGGACCCAGAGTGTCCTGTCTGCCACATCACCGCCACGCAAGCCATCCGAATATTTTCCTAAGCTCCCTGTCCCTGGTCTCCTGGTGCCACCCTGGACCTGAAGGGCCTTTTGGAAAATCAGTGACTATAGGGCAAGGTGCTTAGAAATATTCGCTCGCTGGGGTGGGGAGGGAGGCAAGAGTGGCTGGGGCAGGGGCAGCCACTTTTAGAACCTCTGGTTACCCTTTGGGAAGGGGCCAGACCGTACGTTTTACTAGAGTTACAACTCTGATACCTCAACACACCCTTAAATCTGGAAGCAGCTAAGAGAAGCTTTTGTTTAGCCTGAAGTGGCCACCAGGACATCCTGACCTTTCCCTTCTCCCCATCCGTGTGTCATTTTGCCCCTTCCTCTGCGGAGGGGTAAGAGAACACAGGAGGGGGAGAATTGCCAGCCTGTAACTAGAGGTGGTCTTAGTGATCCCCCGCTCCTCTGGTCCTGACCTCCCACCTCCTAACGACCCTTTACCCCCCCTCCCCACTCATACCCTGAGTTCCCAACAGTGTAAGGGAGAAGGGGGCCTATCAAAGATCTGGGCAGATATTCTGGGGTAGAGGAGGGTGTCAATCAATAAAGGGCTCACAACTCATCTGTCTTACAAAGCTGGGCTGGAGAGATCTGGAAAGAGGGGCTTCTCTTTCCCTCCAACTTTCTGCTTGGCTTTTCCCCGACTTTTATTCTGGCTTTGCCCTTCGCTTTTTTCTGTTTCTTCAGTCCCACTTCCCTGGCTGTCGCTTTCAGTGTCTCTTGCTCCTCTCTGTCTGTCTTCCCTTCCCCCTTCCTGCCCCTTCTAGCCCAGCTTTGGGGATACCATCCTGGGGAGAAGTCTGGAGAACATTTTGATAGTACCCCCCCCCCCCCCCGTTCCTCTTCATGTACTAGACAGCCCTGTCCCCCCACTCCTCCAAAGAATCCGTTCCAGTTCTCGATGGAATGTAGCCCTAGACTCAGTGACAGTTGGAGAGGGGAAGCTAATAATGGGGGTACATAAAGGGTTGGAACCCCACCTTTACCATCTATGGGCATTATACTTAGGGAATACTACTTCTGGATCTTCTGGCCAAAGGAAGGGAAAATGGGAGGCAGAAAAAGTCCTGGGGCAGGAGAAACGTGGCTGGAAGGGCTCCCCTCCCCCTCACCTGCAGTGGCCTACCCCCCTGACCTCTCTGCACCTAGCTGAACCATTATTGAATCCTTATTAGCCACAAATCATGAAGTCTCTGTCTTACCCGCTGGCTGAGGAGAGAGGCCAGATCTTTGGTGAGGGGTCAAGCCAGGGCAAAGCAGGATTGGGGTGCAGCAGGGCCTGTTACGAGAGTCAGGTATTGTGATGGGCCTGGCGCCACTTTGCTGTTCCCATTGCTCACTTGTGTGTGTCAACAGCCTCCTACCCTCCTGGTTCCGCTGGCCGGGCCAAGAGAGGATGGGTGATGGGGAGGCCCAGGAGGCCCAGGAAATGCTTGTATATAGTCGGGTGGGACTACTCTGAGCTCTTCCAGCTCAGAATCCCATTCTTCCTGGATGGAGAAAGGATGTGGGATGAAGGCACAGAGAGGGGTTCCGTCTCTCCTTTGCCTGTTGTGAGTTAACTTGCCTCTCCTCAGCCTTCCCCTCCAGACCACCAGCCTGGGAGGGGAGAGGAAGGAGGTCACAGCCCAGAAAACTGGCCTGTGGCAGCTTCCCTCCTTTCCACCAATGTGAGCCATCTTGAGATGTCTGTACAATAGTAACCAAACCAAATGGGCACCCTGGGTTGCCCAGGGGCAGGGGATGGGAGGGGGTGGGAAGAAGGGATGTCTGTCTGTCAGTCCCCCTCCCCCTCTCCACTCCTTACCCACAAAGGCAAAAGACTGTTAACACTAGGGGCTCCCAGATCCAGTCCCACCCTTGCTGAGTGAGCCTTCCCTAGAAACAAGCGCCAAACGCAAACGTGAGCGACAAAGCAGAAACCGAGGGAGTGAGATGGACGACCAACAGGAGAGGAAACAAAAATAGCAAAAAAGAAAAAAAAGCAGTTCTTTATAATTTAATATTCTATTTTAATAAAGGCATTTATTACCGTATAAATGTAGCAAAGAACCTGGGCTAATATGAAAAAAAGACTTTTTATTAGGTAATTTATTATATGAAAAGGATATTTTATTTTATGATAAAGTGATCCTTAAAAAAAAAAACTTTAGAAGGTTTAGAATATATGTAGGGAGAGAAGAAAAAATACATTTGTATTCAGAGTTAAATCTTAAAAAAGTTTTTAATATATGTTCGGGTTTATGTTCTTTTTTTTTCCCCCCACCTTTTTTTGGGGAGAAATGTCATTTGCTTTTCTTGGGGGAGCATCCTGGGATGGATGGTGGAGAGGGGATGGGGGAGTCGGTCCCTTCTGGGGCCCCCACCAGTAGATTGGATTTCATTCCGTGGGCTCCCCTCCTCCTCCCCCTCAGGGGAGCTGGCGGAGCCAAACAAAGGAAGGGATTAACCAGAAAGGAAGAGGCTTTGGGACTAAGGACTGAGGGTCCTGGGGTGTCCCCTCCTTCCCCTACCCTGTGCCAGGGGCAAGTAAGGAGGGGACAACCAGAACGGAGGCCTCGCAGGCCTGTGGAAACCCTCAGAGGCGTGAGATTTAAGAGAAATAGATTTTTTTTTTTAACCAAAAAGAAAAGAAAAAAAAATGAGAAAGAAAAACCGAGGGGTTTAAAAGAAGAGAATACTACAAAATAATTCAAATTTATTTCATATAATCCTAGAGAAAGAAAAAAGAATTACTAGTTACTTAGTAGATGATACTCAGATAGCTTAAAGTTTAGTAGCATTGTGGGCCCCGCGCCCAGTAGAATGTATAAAAGTATGGAAAAAAGAATAGAGGCCAGCGGCTGAGCTGCCCTACCCCTGGGGACAGGGTCGGAGCGGGCTGCTCGCAAAGATTGGGAGCTTCCAGTCTGCTGGGGTTGATTCTGAGAATCCTTAGGTTTGTAAGTGTGGGACAAGTACATGAGGGGCTCTGTCCCAGGGTCTTTGCCAGGGTACACACTGGTCATCTGAAGCCAGGTGCGACTGGGCGGAGAGCCTGGCTATCTGGTGAGAAGCCCCTACTCCTCATGCCCACCCCCCACCCAAGGCAGCTTCTCCCAGGCCACACTGAGGAAGTCCTTGCAGTCACCTCAGTCCATCTTGCTACAGGTTGGTTCCCAGCGTGAGGTGGATAGCGACTCAACCATGAGCGTGCACGTGCGTGTCAGCTCGGATTTTCCACAGCCCGAGCAGCGCAGAGCAGCGCAGTGGTGGGGGCGGCAATGCAATCTAGTGCTCTTTTCCTTCACATGTGTAGTGGGGCTTTGTTTGTTTTTGTTTTTTGACACAGGGTCTCTAGCTCAGTCTGGCCTTAAACAAGCAGCCATCTTGCTGCCTTCAATTGCTGGGACTACAAGGCATGCACCACCGCCACACTGGGCTTTGTGGAGTCTCAGAGAAAGTTAGATCCCAAGAAATACTTTCTACTCAGGAAGTAGAGGGCAGATATTGGCCTGGGAGAACCTACCCCCCAAAGTACAGTGGTGAAAGTGTGCAGGAGCTTTGGTGACCACAATGCAGCCCTTGTGCGCTCGCCCCACTCTGTGTTCAAACAGGGATCACCCACATGGCCATATCGCATCACCTTCCCCACGGAAAACTGGAAGCCTAGCTTTTTGCATGTGAGAGATAAGCATTTTTAAGCACTTGCCTTCCATCAGCCCCTGCTGGCAATGGGATCAGGATGGGGAGAGGCCTCTTGGCTTTAGTCTGAGCAAGCAGTACACCAGTGATTTACATGCCACTTCATAACCCTGGAGCCCAAACATCTCCCTCTCCCGATTCACTCTTCTCACCCCATCTAGAGACTAGAGGTCCCCCTGTCCTTTTTTGCCCTAGGACCCTCGATAGTTTGAGATGGTAGCATCTGGGAAAGGGAGAACTTGCCCTTGCCTACCTGAGGGTGAGTGCTTGAGAGGTCAGGTGGGTGGGTGGAGACAGCCCTGGGGCAGGGAAAGATGGTCTCTCCACTGTAGAAAGTAGAATAGGATCGTGGTCAGACTTAATTTGAGGCATCTAGTGACTCGTACAAATCACCAAGGAAGATTTTCAAATGCAAAATAAAGGTGGGAAATAAAATAGACCCATGAATAATCAAGTCAAAGTGATGTTGCACACAATGCAGAGAAACCAAGAAGGGGGAGGGTTAATGTATTAAATGTGCTATTGAGAAGTTAATTTTATTAAAAGTATTATTACTTAAGACTTTGTCTTTGACTGTATGACCGACCGTTGGGTCTTGCGTGGCACTTGCAATGGGGGTGGTAGTGCTCTGACCTGGAAAGTGGGTACCTCCAGGGTTTCCTGCCATCCCTTGCTTAGAGAGCTATCTCTTGGCTCCCTGGAAAAGATGTTAGAGACAAAATCCTCCCGCTACTCTACCAACTTCAGTTCCTCCCTGTTTAGGGAAAGGACTGGATTGGGTGCTCCCCTCCAGTCTGTGGAACCCTCCTGAGGACATACACTAGGCTGGCCCTGCTTCCTAGAATCTTGCCCAGCTACCTTGTCTTGCCCCTGGCATTAGAGTGACCTCAGTTCTTGGCACCAGAGCTTTGGGTACCAGATGGTGCTGGAGGACGGTTTCTTTTGTTTTGCCTTTCAAATACCTCTCCCCTCCACACAATCTTCCATCCCCCACCTGCCCTAAGGGTTGGCAGAGGGAAGGGTGGGCAATTCCTGCCCTCTTGGCACTGTCCCCAGACCACAGAACTCCAGAAGCAGCCCCTGAGGGGCAGTGGATATGGTGGGGGTGACAGAAAGGGATCAGGGACTCAGAGGAGGAGTCAAAGTTGGAAGGGCAGCACCAACAATCCGACAAGGAACAGATGGAAGGCGGCAGGATGGCCAGGCATGATACAAAACAGCTTTATTGGAGGGCCCTAGCCTGTGAGGGGTGTGGACAGATGATAGAGACGTGGTAGGGCATGATGACCCTGGGTGCTTGTGAACAGGACTCAAGGGTGGGGAGAAGTCTTGCAGTCAGGGTGGAGGGGTACCCGAAGGCAGAAGGCAGGGACACGGGCTTGACCATGGCTGAGGTCAAAGGTTAATGCAGCAAGCCTTCTTCTCCCCAGGGCCAGAATCTTGTCCAGCTTGGGCATTACCCAGGGTGATGGCATTGGTCCGGGTGCTGTTCTGCCTCTGCTTGGACACCTTTGCAAAGATCTCTAAGGACAAAGAGCAGTAATCAGGCTGGAAGTTTAATGTCCCACCCCCTAACCATGCCATTTCTGAGCACAGGTGGCCACCCCGCAAAGAGTTTTTGCTGGAAGGAAGTTGTTTTGACACCTGGGTCTTGTCTACCTTCCTGGGTAAACAAGGAACCCAGACTCGGCCCCCTAAAAAAATGAGGCCTTCTGGTTCCTTCCTTCAACTCTAGGATGAGTGGAGGGATGGGAGGTGGGACCAGTGACTCTGAGGAAGCTGGGGGCCTACAGTGGGCTGAGGGCTAGAACAGGATATTCCACCTGAAACAGTACCCAATGTGTGCAGGCTCTCACCTTTGAGGACAGTCTCAAAGGCTAGCTCAACATTGGTGGAGTCCAGGGCTGAGGTCTCCAGGAACAGCAGACCATTGTTTTCTGCCCAGAGAGGAAGCAGGCATTAGTTGTGGATCAATGACAACAGTGAAAACATTTATTTAATTCTTTCTAGGTCTTTTTTCTATATGCAAAACCCTTGGTAGACAGTAGCTTATTTAATCCTTTATACAATCTATAAGGCACGTTCATTTAGGAAAGTAAAGCCTAGAAACGCAGAGAGAATGAGGGAGGGACTTGCTCCCTGGCCTACGTCCAGTAACTGACCAGGAGGAGGCCGGAGGGTGTCTCCTAAACCACCACCTTGAACTGCTCACTGCTCAACCCGGAAGGAAAGCTTCTTGGGAGGCAGTGACTGGAGATGGCCACCAGGAGCCCACAGGGTGGGGGCTGTCTCAGCTGTGAACAACTGCTACTGAAGGCAGTCTCACAGCAGGGAGTAGGGGGAGACGGAGGGGTTCCCAAAAGGCCTGGCAGCAGTGAACCTCGTGAGGGGTAGACGGCTCAGGGCCCTAAGTGTCTGCACAGTCGAGAAGTCAGACTGAGTGGGAGTAGGCTCTCACCTGCGAACATGCAGGCCTCCTCAGTGGGCACCTCCCGCGCCTGGCTGAGGTCACTTTTGTTCCCCACGAGCATGACAACAATAGTGGCTTCCGCGTGGTCATAGAGCTCCTTGAGCCAGCGCTCCACAACGGCGTAGGTCTGGTGCTTCGTTAGGTCGAATACCAGGAGGGCCCCTACCGCTCCGCGGTAGTACCTGGACGGGGGTCGGAGGACGGACAGACTACATAGGGATGTCAGGCTCAGCCCCAGAGCGTAGTCCTCACTCAGGAAGGACCCCAGCCCTGCAGAGCCCTCCAGGCTCCCCTGTGCTGCGGGATTGCTGGTCTCAGTCTTCGCAGCTGCATCTCCCTGCTCCAAACCCCCACCCGCTCCTCAGAGGCACCCAGCTTCCTCGGTCCTCTGCCCGACTTCAGCCCTGCTCACCCACCAATGCCCATGTGGACTCTGGTCAGGCGTGCCCTTGGATCTTCCACTTTGAGTGTCTCCCTCACACAGCTCCTCATCTAGTGTCTTCTTCTCCTGGCATCTTTCCAGGGTGAGCCATATGCCTGCCCCTTGAACCAGTACCTGCCTGAGTTCCTACAGACATTTAGCCTCTTTCTGGAGCCTCTGAGTTCAAAAGGCTGTCTTCAGACTGGTGGCATCTAATTATTCCTTGTTATGTTTTGAGACAAGAACTCAGTATGTAGCCCAGGCTGGATTCAAACTCAAGGCAATCCTCCTGCTTCAGCTGGTATTATAGGGGTGAAACACCATTCGTGGTTTATTCCTAGTTCATTAACATGTCAACCAAGTCTTATAAGAGGTCAAATAAGTAAGAGTGGTGGGTGGGTGTGGCCCTCGAGTATACATAACAATAACCCCTGCTTCCTGCTTCCGGCCTCTTGTAGTTCTATCTTCCACCACACATGATAGACTGACCACATTTCAGACAGCAGGACCTAACACTGACCAGGAGATGCTGGATATGGTGCCAGAAGGCCTAACTTTCTGAGCCTTTATAAACTGCATATTCTAAGCAGGGGATATGCCTACTGTGTGGGAAGCCATAAATTCAGTTCTGAGTATAATACATCCATCCATCCATCCATCCACCAATCAATCAATCAATCAATCAACCAATCTAATTTTAAAAAATAGTGACCAGGAATGGTGGTGCACACCTTTAATGCCAGCATTCAGGAAGCAGAGGCAGCAGATCTCTGTGAGTTCCAGGCCAGCCTGGTCTACAGAGTGAGTTCCAGACCAGCCAGGACTACATAGTGAGTTCCAGGTCTACATGTGAGATCAGGCTAGCCTGGTCTACAAAACATACTCCGGGAGTCCAGCTAGCCCTTGGCACTTGTGATTAGACATGTTGCCAAGAGTAGAGCACTGTGCTGAAGTCAGGGGGCGCTCTCAGTCCACGCGCCTACTTAAGCAAGGATGGATTGGATTGTAACACCTCACTTCTTCCTGCAATGCTTCAAGAGCTCCGCAAAATGCCAGGTATAAAGTACTTTGTATCTTCCTGGGCACATGGGAGGTTTAGTAAGTGGGGCTATGACTTGTGTTCACCATCATTACATCCTGTCTGTCTCTGTTGGTCAATCACAGAACTTGTGTCTTCATGATTCCCATCCCAGGGAACACACAGCAGAGTCTCCTGCCTCCCATCCTCCCACGTCTCTAGTCCACAGGAGAGTCCTGGTTTCCCAGGGTCCTCACAAACAAACCCCCCAGGCCTGGGCTCACGCAGAGGTGATGGCTCTGTATCGCTCCAGGCCAGCTGTGTCCCAGATCTGTGCCTTGACAGCAGCGGTGCCCAGCATTACAGTGCGGGTGGAGAACTCAACCCCGATGGTGGTGCGGCTATCGTGGCTGAACTCATTGCGGGTGAACCGGGACAGCAGATTGGTCTTGCCCACGCCTGACTCGCCGATCAGCACCACTGAGGGAGTGGAGAGAGGAGAGCTGAGGCAGGGCAGAGCAGCTCTGAGCCTACCTGAACCCTAGAGTCTGTGCCACAGGAAAAAAGGAGCTCAGAAAAGCAAGGAGAGAGTTGGCTCTCCTGGTAGAGGCTGTGGCTGGCTACAGTGCTACAGTGCTTAGGGCATCTCTGTGTGTATGGCCGGGGGGGGGGGGGGGGGGGGGGGGGGGGTAGCGCCATTGCTGTATATGAGTTATGAGTTGGAAGGATGAGGAAGAGGGGCTTGGGAGCGTTATGTGATTACATGGAAGAGGGAGATGTAGGTGTAAAGTTGGCAGGTGACACTTCTGTGGGTGATAGGAAGGTGTAGGTGTGCACCTGTGTGTATGCATGTGTATTACTGCCTCTCCTTTGCTAGAAAAAGCATCCCCATTCATCCAGGGCATGTCCTCAGACCCAGGGCAAGGGTTTTAGGGTTAGGCAGGCATCTGTCCCACTGGCTTTGTGGCCTTTTTAAATTGTTTTGTTTTAAGATGTATTTATTTGCCAGGCAGTGGTAGCGCACGCTTTTAATCCCAGAACTCGGGAGGCAGAAGCAGGCGGATGGATCTCTGTGAGTTTGAGGCCAGCCTGGTCTACAGAGCAAGTTCCAGGACAAGCTCCAAAGCTACACGGAGAAACCCTGTCTCAAAAAAAAAAGGGGGGGGGGCTGGAGAGATGGCTCAGAGGTTAAGAGCACTGCTTGCTCTTCCAAAGGTCCTGAGTTCAATTCCCAGCAACCACATGGTGGCTCACAACCATCTGTAATGAGATCTGGTGCCCTCTTCTGGCCTGCAGGGATATGTGCAGATGGAAAACTGTATACATAATAAATAAATACATCTTTAAAAAAAAAGATGTATTTATTTTATGTGTATGAGCATCTTGCTTCTATGTATGTATGTTTTGCTTGTACATATGGATCCCTGGTAGGATGTCAGATCTCATGGAACTGGAGTTATGGATGGTTGCTCATGGAACTGGAGTTATGGATGGTTGTGAACCACCATGTCAGTCCTGGGAATTGAACCGGGGTCCTCTGCAAGAATAACAGTGCTCTCACCCACTGAACCACCTCTCTAGCCCCCCTCGTGACCTCTTTTTGGCAAGCTACTTAACTCTCTACATGTTAGTTTCCTCCTCTGTAAAATAGAGACGCCAGTGGCTGACATTTATAGAGTGCCTCCTCACATCAGCCACTGTCCAGAAAACCTTATGTGGCCTCATCATGCCCGGAGACGTGAATGCCTTCACGAGTCCCATTTTTATAGACACACACAGTAGGTCTATCACACTGTACTAAACATAAACATACTGCCCACCTCTCCCTTCCAGGAAGGATTTGCCCCACCCCCTCATGGCAAGGGGTGAAGGCAATGACAGTGGCAGCTCAGTGTGCCCTCATGGACATGGGATGTCATGCCTCTCCTAGACAGCTCCAGGTGGTACCCCAGGATCCGTGTTCTGAGGCTACCCCAAAGCTTCCTGTTTTCCAACTATCTCTGAGCTCTCATGGCAAGTGACTACCCTCTACCCAACCCTGTTTACTCCTGCTTATCTTCACCTGTGGTGGCCCGTAGTCAACATGGAATACCCCACACTATGGAGACAGTGCTCTCACATAGTGTGGCACTGGGACCCCATCTGTGCTAACTAACTGGTAAGTGGCAGAGAGACCATGGGACCACTCAAAATGATGGACCACACCAGGGATGTGGAGATGATTTTGTGAGAATGGCATCTACTAGGAGCTTAATCAATGGGAGTCACTATACCATGGCCACAGCCCTACCGGCTTCCTTGGAAAAACGCCAGGAGTACAGGCTCCCCAGCTTGGGCCAGGGTGGGGTTGAGATTGGGAGAGGCTCTGGGGTGTGGTGCAAAGTGGGGTGAGAGTGCCACCAGGCCACCTTGCCTTCAGGAAGTGGGTTAGAAACCCACAAAGGGACCAAAGACTAGGAGCCCAGAATAAAAAAGCAGGAAGGATGCATGCTCACTTCCAGGGACAGCCCGGTGAACAGTGCCTAGTGTCTGGGTCCAAAGAAGGTGCAAAGGCCCATCACACAGGCTTCAGCCCAGGAGTCCCGTGGAACCCATCAGACTGCTCCAAATTCACTGCATTGTCCCAATATCTTCCCTGTGTACCAACCACGGAGCTCAACAAAGACTGTGTCTCTCCTTCCCCTCGTTTCTATGCACCTGCTCAGAAGGATGACTGGATGACTCTCTTTCTCTTTTATTTCCCCAGTTTTTTTTCAAGACCGGGTTTCTCTGTGTAGCCCTGGCTGTCCTGGAACTCACTCTGTAGACCAGGCTGGCCTTGAACTCACAGAGATCCACCTGCCTCTGCCTCCTAAGTGCTGGGACTAAAGACATGCACCGCCACTGCTTGGACAGACTTTCTTCCTCTTCAGTTGGCTTTCTTCTCCCTCTGCCCTGAACGCAAGTCCTTTCTGAAGTTGGACTTCCACCTCTTGCACTTCCAGGGCTAACATTCCCAGGGATTTGAGCGTGTATTAGAGACTGGGCAGGGAAGCCTGCTAATGTGGCAATAGGAAGGAATAGAGCGTACAGCTTCTAAACATCTGCACCTGTAACCACACCTGCCTATACTCCTCGAGGCCTCCTTTCTCTCCTAGAAGGAATGCTGATCCTGGGGGGGGGGGGGGGGGGGGGGGGGGGGGAGTCCAAGTAAGAGACAAAAAAACAAGAAAAGACCTTGTCTCCTCTGAAAAAAGCCTCTCTCCCACCCTCTCTAGATTCTTCCCTTTCCAAGAGCCCCAACTTACCCTTGAAGACAAAATTATAATCTTCGTCTTTTCCGTTCCCCATCTTGGCTCAGCATGGAGAGCGAAGGTGTTTGCAGGTGCAGAGGTCACAGTCTGTTTATTGGTTAAATGACCTCAACTCTCAGCTTAGAGACCCGCACCTAGCTCCCCTCTCATTGGGGTGAGGGACAGAGGGCTGAGTTGAGGCCAGGAAGAGCCCCGGAGGCTCAGCTTTGGCAGGTTGGGCTACTCCGTGGGAACTGAGAGGACGGAAGCTGAGAACAGGAAGAGCTAGCCAGCTCGACTGGGGACCTGCGGCACAGGTGGGTGGGGCGAAGATGACGTCAGACAGGTTAAACAGGTTAGGTGTCTGCTTTCAACCCACACTCCCCAAATAGGAGAGCCTGCTCCTGGAGTTAACAGTGGGTGAGGCTGCGGCTGAAGGCTGAGTGCACATTGCAGAGTTCCTAGGGTTTGTGGAAGGGGGGCTGCCACGAGGCTGAGAGAGATAGACACGGGGCGGGGCAGAAGCCTACTGGCCTCCAGCTTTCCCATCTCAAGTTTGGTAAAGACACATACTGAGGGCACCAGGAGAAGGGCTGTTGTGGCAAGAAATGCAAGCTGAGTGCAGCATCTCTGCAGTGCAGAGCTGTGGGAGCTGCACCAGCATGCAGCTTCCAGCCCCTCCTTAACAGCCCCAGGTCAGGGATGGGCAGCATTTCTCACTCAGGTGGAGCTGGGACTCTACCTGCCCAGATGGGTCCCTTCTTATTTACTATACACAGATTTGCTCCCTTCCTAGATGGGCGGCAGAGACAAGTGTAGAAAGAGCCGGACACAGTGAATATGGGTGCAGAATCTGAAGACGAAGACAACCCTGAGTCATGGGGTTTTCAATTCTTGTCAGGGCCTGAGGCCTCACGGCAAGGTATCTTGTTTGTAAGAGGTGCCAGGTTTGGGGCTTTACCCTGCAATCCCCAGGAAGCTGGGTTGGAGGATTGAGAGCTAGAAACCAGCCTGCACCATGTTGAGTTCAAGGCCAGCCTGAGCTACATAACAAGACCCTAGCTCCTGAGACCAACCAGGGGTCAGCAAGATGGCTTAGCAAGTAAAGGCACTTGATGCCAAGCCCGACAACCGAGCAGATCCTAGGACCCACATGGTGGAAGGACAGTCTATTCCAAGTTGTCTTCTCACCCCTACACATGTGGAAAAAAATTTAGGGGCGGTGGTGGCAAACACTTTTAATCCCAGCACTCAGGAGGCAGAGGCAGACAGAACTCTGTGAGTTCAGGGCCAGCCTTATCTATAGAGTAAGTTCCAAGATAGCCAGGGATATACAGAGAAACCTTGTCTCAAAAAACCAAAAAAGAAAAAAAAATGTAGGACCATGAGATGGTTCTGCACATAAAGATACTTGCCACCCAGCTGGAGAGATGGTTCAGCAGTTAAGAGCACTGACTGCTCTTCCAGAGGACCCAGGTTCAATTCCCAGCACCCACAGGACAGCTCACAACTGTCTGTAACTCCAAGATCTGACACCCTCACAGACATACACGCAGGCGAAACACCAGTGCACATAAAATAAAAATAAATAAATTATTGTCAAAAAAGAACAAATACTACCAAGTTTGACCACTTTGAGTTCATTCCTTGAGACCCACATGGTGGAGAGACCCAACTTATGAAAGTTGTCTTCTGACTGCCATACTTGTACCGTGGGACACACCCACCCACACGTGTGCACACATACAATAAGTAAATGTAATGGTGAAGAATCTGCATGACCACACGCAATTTCCTTTTTTAATTAAAAAAAAAAAAGAAACGCTGCAGAGAGGATCTGGCTGGCTCACGGAAACTTAGGAGAGTTTCTAGCTTAAGGGCACTCCTCCCTCCTTAAGCCAGAACAGATTGAACTCTAGGTCTCTATATTTTCTGTGTCCAACAAAAACAGGCCTTTGCTCCTCCAGCTCAGTTCCAAGGTGCTGCCAAAGGGTGGATAAGATTCTGCTCTGAGGGCTAGAGAGAAGGCTCAGCAGTTAAGAGCACTGGCTACTCTTGCAGAGGACCCAGGTTTGGCTCTCAGCACCTACAAGGTGTCTCACAACTGTCTGTAACTGGTTCTAGAGGGACCTGACGTCCTTCTCTGACCTTTGCAGACATGCACATGGTGCAGACGTCACCCCAGGCCAACCTGGTCTACAGAGCTAGTTCTAGGACAGCCACGGCTACACAGAGAAATCCTGTCAGGGGTGGGTGGGGGAGAAAAATCAGTTCTGAGTGGCTGGAGTTAGATGAAGCCCAGTACTGGAGAATCAATTGTGCTGGGCAGCCCTGCCAAGAACTGCTGGGAGATTTGATGATGGGGGGTGAGGGAACCCACCTTTGCAGAGGATAAGGAATCCTCTTAAGTAATCCACCCCACTCCTTCCCAAGGCCTGAGCTCTTCATCCAAGAAAGCAGCTGAGACACAAGGCAAGAGTTGAAATTTATTTGGAAAAAAGCCAAAGTCCCACTTTCCTGTAACCAGTCTAATAGGTGTTTCCAGGGCCCTGCTCCTCCCAACCTCCATCCCTTCTGACTCCAGCGTCCATCACATTATTATGATGCTGCTACTTGGGTGAGGGGCTCCTCCAGGTACTGCACCAAAGCCTGGGCCTGCAAGGACGGAAAACACAAGTCAGTCCATGCATGGCTTATGCTTAGAGGGATCCCAAATTGGCTCCCTACTCCACATTGAGTCACCAGCCAGCCCCCACTCCACCCCATTGCTCTTTAGTCCATCCCAGACAGGGATGGAGTATATAGAACTTCAGAAAGGGGCACATGTAGGGAATGGACACAGTGAACAGGCACTATGGCTGGGCCCAGGAAGGTTGGAACAGGAATGTACTCACTTTGGCCTTGAGCATTCCGAAGCCTACAGTCTCCTTGGCATACATACATAACAGGAGGTTGGCCACCCGAGTAATGGCTACACGTCCCTCCTAGTGGGGAGAATACATTGAAGCATTCTGCTTGGCACCTTTAGTTCCTACCTCCCCAGGGCTCCTCTGAGCCTAGAGAGATTGTCTCCCAAGGCTGGCAGAGCAAGAAGTTCATCTAGAAAGCTTTGCCCAACCCTGAAGACATGGGGCCTGACGCTGATTCCAGCCTCAGCACAGGCAATTCCTAATCAAGTTATTCTGGGGAACCAAGTCTCCCAGAAACTGGGGTTTTCTTCTAATGCCAAGAATTGTCTCAACAAGTGAGGGATCAGGAACAATAACCCAATTTGTCTGTTGCTCTTGCAGAAGACCTGGGTTCAAGTCCCAACACCCATTGTGCTCACAACCATAGAGTTCAGGGGATCCGATGTCTTCTTTTGCACCTCCTTGGGGGCACCATGCATGCACAGGGTGCCCATATGTAACACCTGGGCAAAACTCTCATACATACAGAATAGCCGGGCGGTGGTGGCGTGCACGCGCAAGGCCAACCTGGTCTACAGAGCGAGTTCCAGGAAAGGCGCAAAGCTACACAGAGAAACTCTGTCTCAAAAAAGCAAACCAAAAACAACAACAACAAAAAAATCATACATAATAAAATAAATAAATTTAAAAAACTTAACGGCAAAAAAATCCACAACCCAACTTACATGTCTCCTCTTTTCTCATGGTATAGTTTTTCAAAATGAGGATCAACTAAGGTTGATCAACATTTAAAAAAAAAAAAAGAAAGAAATGACAGATGTCAAATTGTAGTTAAGAGAAGTGATGTTTCATGAAACTTGTTTTAGTGTATCAATGTGTATACTAGGCGTTGTTGACTCAAAAACAAAAATTGTGCTTCTGGGAATGGGTCCTAGGAGCCCAAAGTGCTCTACCACTGAGCTCCATCCTCTATCCCTTAAAATGCATTTATTATGGCTGGGTTGCTGTGAATGTCTTTGGAGATTCTGCCCCATGCCCCATGTCACCAGCCCTAGATTCAGTACCCAGGAAGAGTCAGCCATGGTTGGGAGGGGTGTAAAGAATGGACTGCCTCAATCACAAAGAAGAGCTTTCTGAGGAGCGTTCACCCCCACCCGGGACCAACTGATTGGCTTCTGCACATCATCCCTGTCCAGGGTGCTGGGAACCAGGCATTTCTTTTTAGACCTACCCTACTACTTTTCCCCATTCTGGAACACTCCGTCCTTACTGACCTTTATCCAAACTCACTCTGCCGTAGGCCCTTTGCAATTGCTGTTCTGTCAGAAATACAGTGCTGGGACTAGAGGCATAAGCCACCAACCATGTCCTGAACTGTTAGAAATATTTTCCCGCCAGCCAGTGGTGGCGCATGCCTTTAACCCCAGCACTTGGGAGGCAGAGGCAGATGGTTCTCAGTGAGTTCCAGGCCAGCCTGGTCTACAGAGTGAGTTTCAGGAAAGCCAGGACTACACAGAGAAACGCTGTCTCGAAAAACCAAAGAAAGAGAGAGAGAGAGAGAGAGAGAGAGAGAGAGAGAGAGAGAGAGAGAGAGAGAGAGAATTTCCCAACAGATCAATGCATGGCTTATTCCCTTCCTCTCTCCAATCTTCAGATCTTTTAGCAAATGTCACCCTCTCAGTGAGATTGACCGCCACATGTGTCTGCACCCACTCTCCTTTTTTAATATCTATGTTTTACTTATTTAGCAAGGTGTGGTGGTGCACACCTGCAATCTCACTTTTCAGGAGGCAGAGGCAGGATGATCACTGCAAGTTCGAGGTCAGCCTACTTTACTCCATACCATGCAGTCCATGAGGATAAATTTGAGATTGTCTTCATTAAACGCTTGGTTCCCGTTCCGGTCGTACGCGGCCCAGATGTTACTGGCGATGGCCGCGGTGACCCGGGCATCTGTGTCCCCATAACCGGAGTAGGCCAGCAACGATCCCTCGTTATTCAGCAGCCTGGAGAGGATGGGGAAGGATATCGACAAACTCAGGAAGAGTAAAAAGCCTGGGTTCCTTTCCCAATTCCCGCTCCTGGCGTTTTTAGGAAGCAAGGATCTGCGCTGAATATATCCCGGAACATACATGCCTTAAGCACTAGTCGACTTCCCTTTCCCAGAGGGGCCCTCACGTAGGGTTCCCGAAAAGACCGCTCGCATCACGAGCCTCCTCCTAGCGTGGGGCTCCTTCCCTACCCCTACTGCAGGCAGCCGCGCGCCGCCCCAACTCCAGTGCTCGCCGCTCGGGTCCTTGTTGTGCACTCACAGGGTGCTTTGGACTCCTCCGGTGTTGGCTTGGCTTAGCACCTGCGTCAAAGCCTTGGGACGCAGCATGCCTGCGTCTCCCAACCCTGATCGGTACCCAGACAACCCCAGTCACCGCCAGCTGCTCTCCACCAGCCGCTTCCGGTGGCCCAGTAGCCCAGCTACCAGGCGCCCTGGTAGTTGTAGTCTCCACTGAGGCTCTGGCCCAATCCCCGCCCCGCGCGGGGGGCGCTGGGAATCGTAGTTTCTTGTGACATCGCAAGGACTTCTGGGAACTATAGTTCTGCTTTCCAGTCCGACCATGAGGCTCTGGGGAAAAAGAGCGGGAGTGCAAGGACAGTGGCAACATTGGAAGGACTTTTAACCCCTTCCACGAAAAGGGCGCCTTTGCGCCTACTGGTCAACCCGCGATTCACTAATAATAATAAAGATCTGTATCTGTTAAGCACATCCTTGGCCCTTTTTCAAAGCAGTATTGCACGTTAGTCAACCGTTCTGTGAGGTACTGCTGTCTTGACGCCCAGGGCTCAGAGAAGCCACGTAGGCAAACTCCAGGTCTCCGACACTGTCCTTAATGGCCCCCTCGGGACGGCTCCCGGGAGGCCACGGCGCTTCCTGCAGAGGCGTTAAGAACGTCCAGATCCAGGAGCGACCCCAGGCCCGGCAGAGATGCCGCCGCCCAAGAAAACCAAGTTAGCCCAGGGGACGGAGATGAGGCGGCGGAACAGAAAGTCCTTTGTCCCGAGCGGGAGGGAGCCGCGGGCATCGCCGAGTCTTCCGCCCTCGGCGTCGGCCACTCCGCCCTCTCGGGGCTCCGGCGAAGATCGGCCCGAGCAGCTGCGGACCCCGCTCGGCCCTGGGCCGCCCCAGCTGCAGTGCCCCCCCAGGCCGCCCGGGGCGCTGTGGCTGCGGCTGTCCGGAGGGGGCGGCGGAGCCTTGGGGAGGGGCGGGAGGGGGAGTTGGAGGCGCCGAAGCCGAGCCGGGCCGGGAGGACCGGGAGGAGGAGCCGGGCGGGCTGGCGGGCGGCCGGGCGGCGGCATGGCGGAGCCGAGCGGGGCCGAGACGAGGCCCCAGATTCGGGTCACCGTCAAGACCCCCAAGGACAAGGAGGAGATCGTGATCTGCGATCGAGCCTCGGTTAAGGAGGTAGGACGGCTGGCGCTGGAGGGAGGAGGAGGGCGGGAGCCGTGCGCGGAGGGGTCAGCGCTGAGATGGAGACCTCGGGGACGGCCTGGCTGCGGGGACGGGCCCCCGGCCGGGGCGGAGCCCACGGGGATCCGGGCAGCGCGAGGGCAGACGAAGCGGGTAGGGGGCGCCCTGCCTGAGCTAGTCCGGCGAGCGTGGCGCGGGTTGGGACGGGTTTGGCAGCGCTACCGGGGCTGGGGGCGTGGTGGGGGAGCTTGGGGAAGGGACACCTGGCACGCGGGTGCCCCGAGGGTCCTAGGCTTGAGGGGAGAGTGCGCCGCGGTTCCTGGTGGAGGTTCCAGGCACCGAGGCACCGTGCGGCCCGAGTGAGCTAAGCTCCCCCGGGAGAGCCGCGTGGTGGGGGTGCTCTCTCTCCCCGCACAGGTCCTTCCTGCTCGCAAGTCGAAACGGTTGTGTGGTTCAGTTTTCTGCTCTATAGGATATATTGAGCGCGGTAGGTGCTCAACAAAATAATGTTGAATGAGTGAGGGACTATTGACTCTGTTCCCCACTGCTCGGAGCTGCTCCAGAACTGCGCACAGGGCGGGGCTTAGGATAGGCCATCTGGTTGGAAGAGAGGGATCTTTTGCTTAGCAAGTGCACTGTTTATAATTAGAGTATGTGTTGTGTTGTGTTTTGGAGGAGCTGATAGACTCTAGAGAGTCTAACTCACCCCAGAGTGCCCTTTAGTACCACTACTGCTCTCATGCAAGAATTTACAGTCCTCCCGGAAGGGCTGAATTGGAACACAGCTCTTATTGAGAGTGTGTCTACTGGAGACATTGATATGCAGACCGGAGTTATTACCTGCTCTCTGATCCTTATCTTTAAAATCTCAGCAGAGGTGGGCAGACCTCTGTGAGTCCGAGGTCAGCCTGGTCTACATAGAGGGTTCCAGGGCAGTAACGGCTACACAGAGAGAGACCTTGCCTCTAAATAAATAAATGAGATGGAGATAGTAACTAACACACTCAACAGCTGGATCTGTTTGTTATAGTTATGAGAAAGCTGGGAATAAAGTGCAGAGAGAAACTGCCAGTCAAGAGGAAGCTGGAGAGAGAGAGCCCGAGGCCAAGGCTGGTTGGAGGAGTTGGGATGAGGAGGGCTACCCAGGTGCTAACCCTCACAGAGAACTGGGTGGTCGTGGTAGATAGCAGCAGGGTTTTCTAGGGTGAGGAGAACCATCGTGGAACCAATGGAAAAAGCAGACTTCACTGTTGCTTATCGCAGCTAGAGGGGCAGAGTGGAGAGCAGAGTCCTGGCAGTGGGGTACAGGCAGGCTCCCCAGTGATCTCTGCCTCTTGACCACAGTTCAAGGAGGAAATCTCCCGGAGGTTTAAGGCTCAGCAGGATCAGCTGGTCCTGATCTTCGCAGGCAAGATCCTCAAGGATGGAGACACTCTGAACCAGCATGGGATCAAGGATGGGCTCACGGTCCATCTAGTCATCAAGACCCCTCAGAAGTAAGTTCGGGAAAGGAGCCGACTTTGCTCCTAATTGGGACTTCTCTTCAGATGCTTTCTCACCTGTTCAACTATGTAGACGGCTGTTGGCCAGGCCTGGTGCAGGTGGATAAGGTCTTACCTCTAGGGCAGCCTGACTGACCACTCCCAGATTGCCTTAAAAACTAGTGATACTGGCATCATTCCTCTCTCCTGGATCCCCTCCTGCCCCCATCTTGCCGGCCTGGGGTAAGGGTGGGGTAAGGCTGCTCAGGGGTGGCTTGAGCTGGGAGCAGCTACACAGCACCCGCCCACTTGTACTCCCTCCAACCAGGAGTCTCCATTGTTTGTTCTCAGGGCTCAAGATCCAGTGGCCACTACTGCTTCTCCCCCATCCACTCCTGACTCTGCCTCTGCACCCTCCACCACACCTGCCTCACCCGCTGCCCCTGCCCAGCCCTGCGGCTCTGGCAGTGCCACTTCAGATGCTGGCAGTGGAGGGGGACCCTCTCCAGTGGCTGCAGAGGGGCCCCCAAGTGCTACTGCGTCAATTCTCTGTAAGCCTTTGGGGAGGAGAGCATAATCTTGTATTTACTGGGCAGGGAAGTGGGGTGCACAAAGATAAAGAAGAACAGTGGCCCCTGCTCCTAGTCTCATGGGGGTAGACACTCTTCCAGATGTTGGTGATTAAGCCAAGCTGGTGGTGTTGGTGGTGGTGGTGGTGGTGGTAAGCAGTTCATGATGGTTTCCAGGATTTCAGGAGCAGAAGGAGAGATGGGGTTGAGTGTCCTGGAGAGGAGAGAAGTACAGAAAAGCAGGTGGCTGCTGGTTCATTTCTCTCTGTTCAATGATATGCTCATCCTGGCCTCTGCCTTTATAGAGGCCTCTTTGCTGGAGCTGTGGGAGCGATTGCAAGAGGGACCTGTGAGAAGCAATTAGGGGCTATCCTAGAGAGCCAAGTTTGTAGGCTCTGCTGGATCTGAGAAGGGCCTGAGAGGTAGACTCTGACCCTACTCCTTCCCACAGCTGGCTTCGGGGGCATCCTTGGCCTAGGCAGCCTGGGCCTGGGTTCTGCCAACTTCATGGAGCTGCAGCAGCAGATGCAGAGACAGCTCATGTCCAACCCTGAGATGCTGTCACAGATCATGGAGAACCCCTTGGTCCAGGATATGATGTCAAACCCTGACCTGATGCGCCACATGATCATGGCCAACCCCCAGATGCAGCAGCTGATGGAGAGGAATCCCGAGATCAGCCACATGCTCAACAACCCGGAGCTCATGAGGCAGGTGGGTATGCGACAAGACTGGAGGAGGGAGGAATCCGGTATCAGCCATTTTGAGCTTATTATTGACTGAACAGCTATATTTTGAATACTTGATACAGTGATGAATGGACATAGGCCAGAAACTCCTTGTCTCTAAGGGAAGTGGGACAGATATGCAGGCAACACCGAATTAATAGGTTTTCTCTGTAACATGATAGTAGGTTTCTCTGCTGTCGCAGTAAGCCAGATCAAGCCCAATTGAAAAAGCAAAAGAACAGGTGTATTTGAGCAAAGCAACTCCCGAGTGAGTCCTTCAGCCCCAGAGATTGGGGCTGAAAAGTCTCACAACTGAACTAAAGCAGGGAACTATATACCCTGGAGGTGAGGGGTGGTGATGTGTCCTCTACAGCTGGGTTTGTGTCCAAGTATGGTCAAATGCTGACCTCTTTACATGGGGTCTTGGGCGGCTGGCAACTTCAGGGGAAGAGCCACCACAGCCGCCAAGAATGCGGAACTGGGCTTTTTTGCGCCTTTTCTTTGTTGGAGATTTTCTGAGTGGGCGAGGTTTGGAGAGAGAGGAATGGGGCGTAATGGATCAAGCAGGAGTAAGCTCGAGGTTCTAGCCGAACATTTTAACCTTTTTGGGTATATGGGCACCGGTTCAAATCTGGCTACTTCCTGTTGGCATGGGACAACGTGGGGAGGCAGAGTCGGGAGGCAGGAGGCTTATGGGTGAAGAAGCATTCGGTCAACTGCCCGTTCTGGAGACCCCACAAATCCGTTCCTGGAGGAAACAGAGAAGGCAAATTGCTAGGGGAAAAAAATAGACAGATTATTACCACCGGCCCTATGAACAGGGCTAACCATGGGAAGAGTGAATATTGCCAGAAAGAGTGGAACAGAGATGTGCCCTGGTTGTATTGGTGAAGTTCTTCAGACAATTGATGGGATGGCTCGATATTAGTTTCCACCTGCCGAATTCGTTAATACAGTAGCATGTTTCCCCAGGAACATGCAGTGTCTGTAAAACAGCTGGAACAGATTTACACCTTGGTGTCATAGCAAGGGCTATGGCTTTGGGTTAAAAGGCATGAGCATTTTGAGGGGAAAAAATATAGCCCAGAAGACAAAAGAGACAAATGTGAATGAGCAAGACACAAGAGCAGATAGACTTGACCATCGTGGCCCCTCACTGGGACAGTCGGGAGAACCGGAGGTAGAGGGTCCCAGTTGTTGTACAGACCATTCATCCTGGGTAGGGGCCCGCTTGAGCCTGGAGAGGTGGTACCAGCACTGATGTCCCAGGAGCTTGGCAGCTGAGGGGGTGAGGATCACGGTGTAGGGTCCTGTCCCACCAGGACTCTACAGACTTGGGAGATAACTGCTTGAGGAGTCCCCAGTCCCCCGGGGAGAGCGGGCAGGCTCAGGGGCAGTTGGGTCTGTTGGCTTGGGGGCATGGTGACAGCTGTCAGCATGTGAATGGAGGAGGGACTGTAGGAGGGACAGGTAGGATAGGTACCCAACCAGTGGAGGGGTCTGGGTTGGGAGGTGGCTGTTATCTGTAAAGGAGTTCAAAAGGGCCGGGCGGTGGTGGCGCACGCCTTTAATCCCAGCACTCGGGAGGCAGAGGCAGGCGGATCTCTGTGAGTTCGAGGCCAGCCTGGTCTACAGCGCGAGATCCAGGAAAGGCGCAAAGCTACACAGAGAAACCCTGTCTCGAAAAACCAAAAAAAAAAAAAAAAAAAAAGGAGTTCAAAAGGGCTTAGGCCTGTAGGAGATCGTGGGGTGGCCTGGAGGCGGGTAAGGGCAATGGAGAGGAGGGAGGGCTAAATAACCTGAGTTCTATAGAGAGCTTGATGGATCTGTTGGCCCTCTCAACCATTCCTGAGGACTGTGGGCAGTAAGGGATGCCAAGTTTCCAGGAGATGTTGAAGGCTTCAGACACAAGCTTGATGACCCTGGAAGTGAAAGCTGATCTGTTGTCCATTTGGGTGGTCTGTGGCACGCTGAACTGAGGGATGATGTGTTCAAGAGTACCTGAGCTACCACATTTGCTGTTTCCCTGAAAGTGAAGAATACCTCTATGCATCCTGTAAAAGTGTCAAAAAGAGTTAGGAGATAGCGGAGCATTTCATGAATGGGCATATGGGTGAAGTCAACCTGCCAGTCCTCACCTGGTTGGTGTCCTTGGAGCTGGTACAAGGGTTGGTGTATCTGGAGGGCCCCCTGTGGGTTGGCCTTGGCACATGTTTGGCAGGAGGAGTGGACCTGTAAAATACGGGCTTGAAGATGGGTGGATCAAAGAGGGACTCTAGGAAATGGAACAAAGCTTTGGGGCCTATATGTAAGGTTTGGTGGATGTCCGAAATGATGGACAGTGCCTGACCTGGGGGAGGATGGGGTGGTTATTTAAGTAGACCATCTGTCTTTTGCTGTGTGGCCCCTTTATTCAGGAGTTCGTCCCTCTCCTCTGCTTGGTAACAGGGCTGATAGGAGAAAGTCAAAAACAAAATATGTCCTGTCGATCCAGGGGAGCTGGAGGCCAGTTGCCGGGCTGCTGAAGGCAGTCCTGTCATTGCCTAAGGCCACTGGGTCCTTGGAGGACTGATGTCCCCGACAGTGGATTATGGCTACTTCTGCAGGGAGTTGGAGGGCCTCCAAGAGCTATAAGGGGTCCATTGACAATGGGAGTGCCCTTGGCAGTGAGGGAGCCCCTTTCCCTCCAAAGGACAGAGTGGGTATGGGCTATTAAAAGGCATATGTAGAGTCAGTGTAGATGTTAACCCGTTGACTGTTAGCTATCTGGAGTGTTCTAGTCAAGGCAATTAATTCGGCCTTTTGTGAAGAGGTCCCCACCAGCAGGAGGGTTGCTTCAAGCGTTTTAGTGAAAGTGACTAACGCATAAGCCGCCTGGTGGTTTCCTGATCTGTCTGTAAGAGGGCTTCTATCAACGAAGAGGGTGAGTTGGGGGTCTGTGAGGGGTTGGTCTAGGAGACCAGGCCGGGGTGATAAGGCCTCCACAGCCTCTGGGCAGGAGTGGAGGGGCAATCAGAGAAGAAGGGCCAAGGAGGAGGGTTGAAGGGACCCGTGAGGCAATTGAGGGAAGAAGAAGATGGGAGCCAGAAGGGAGTGTGGGGGCCAAGGAGAGGGTAGCCCCAAAGCCGCTGAGGCTGTCATGGCCAAGTAAAGGTACCAGACAAACAGGTATGACTAGAAAAGGGTGTGAGGAGAATCATCCTGTAAGAATGCAGGAAGTGGCAGGGTCTTAGGAGGAAAGACAGGGTCCCATCCACCCCCGTAGAAATTGGCGAGGGAACTGTGGGACCCAAGTGAGACGTCAAGACAGAAAAGGTAGCCCCGTGTCCACCAGGAAGGTGATAGACTTACCCACGACCTGGAGCGTTACCCGAGGCTCGGCGAGGGTGATGGGAGTCTCTGAGTCTGGGTGCCGTCAGTCCTCCGCCAGGCTAGGGAGCTCGAAGGCTAGAAGAGTCTCAGATGCCTGTGCTGGTGGGACTGGACCTCTGTGAGGAGGCATAGAGGATGAGCCCGCATGGGGCATTCCAACTTCCAGTAGCCAGGCTGCCGGCAGACGGCATGGCCCTGTTAGTGGCCAAGGGTTGGGGCAGCAACGGCACCAGTGGCCTTCCTGGCTGCATTTGCAGCAGACCACTGGCAGGATGGACCCTTATGGACTTCCCCTGTTCTCTTTGCGGGAATGCCAATGGCTTCAGGGCAGCTTCCAAGGCGTGAGCTTAGAGCATAGCCTTCTGTTGCAGCCCAGCTTGCCGGGAAGACTCAGCTGCCTCCTCTCGGCCATTAAAAACCTTAAAAGCCGTTTTCACCAGTTCCTGTACGAAGGGTTGGGGAACATTCCCTGCCCTTTTTTTTTTTTTTTTTTTCCTTCCTCATATCTAGTGATGACTGTGAAATGAAATGGATAGCCGAGACTGTGGCTCCCGCTGGGGAGGCTGGATCCAGGCAGGTAGAGCAGGCAGGGAGGATTCCAGCATGGCAGGGTGGAAGAGCAGACAGAAACAAACCGGGAGGTAGGATCTGTTGGGGTGGAGTGGGCAGGTAGGACCCCTGCATGGCCGGACCGAACGCCAGGAAAGGCTAGTGAGTAAAAAGGGGCAAAATGGGTACCTTTCAGCGGGCCCTGCCAAGGTGTGTCACTAAGAGAACACGTCGCGAACAAGAGAGTTCGTGCAAGAGGTTTACTGGGGAAGGGGTGCTGCAGGCCGCAGGAATATATCATAAGAACTCAGCTGGTTATGGCAAAGTCACTACCTGGAGGAATCAGGGAATTCCTCCAGAGGAAGCCAAATCCCAAGGAGTTTTTGGTGTTACTTGGCTTGTTATATATCAGCTGTATTCTGTTATGAAAATCATGTGTGCCTTCATAGTTTTCCCCAATTGACTTTTCCCTAAGAAGGGCTAACAGTGTGGACTGATCACTCTCTGGACATACACATTCCAGGTATTTGGAGAACAGCCTCGGGAAAGGCTTTCTCTGGAATCAGATATCTCCCTTGGCCACTTTCAAGGACTAGCAGTAATAACAGTCCACATGCAAGTCTCCTGGTAAATTCCACAAGGAGATACCACCTAGGTCAGGTGGACATTAAGTAATAGCTTTACACAATTCAGCTCGGACCCCTCTTTCTTACAGCCTTACTAACTTTATAGACCGCTAACTCCTTACCTAACCACTTCTAGGAATATTTAGATAACCTCCTGCACTGACAGCTATGCTCAGCCAGAACCCCAGTTCAAGCCTCCCTGTAATTATCATCATTAGCAGCATCTGGCCAGGTCCATCCCCAGATGGAGGAGAGTACTTTATCATAGATACCTCTGTATTCTCTAAGAACAGACTTAAGCATCCAGGCTACCTGTTTGAGAAGGCCTGGCGGATGTGCCAATTAAGCTTAACTTCCTCCTTTCCCAAACCTTACCTCCAGTTCCAGATCTTCCTTTAACTATCACCAGAGGCATCTAGCTGTACACAGGTTGCCTAGCGACTGAGCACACTTTCCCCCACCCTGCAGAAACACAGCAGATAGCTTGGACAGATAGGAGCCACAGGAAAAAAGAAGACAGTTTTATTTTCTCCCATTGACCTAGCAACTTATAGATTCTTAACATTTTCTACCAATCACGTTTAAGATTATAGTTGAGCACATAAGAGCCCTCTTCTTAGATATTACCTGAATTCAGCCTTTAGTTAATCCATTTCCCCATTGGTCACTTCCCTTTGGGGTTGCAAATGATAATTAATGGTTATTGCCTCCCTATGTGATTCTTATCACCCCTCCGTTTGACCCTGGAAGCCTGGCTTTATATACCAGGACTTCCAGGGCACAGGGGGTCGGAGAAGAGAAAAGAGAATGAAAGAACTAGATGAGTAAGAACTTGAGAGGAACAAACTGAGATGGGGAAGAACTAGATTGAAGGGCTAGAAGAGAGGACTAGAGGAACGAGATGGAAGATGAGGATGAGCCAGATGGGGAACAACAAGATGAGGAAGAACGAGATGAGGAGAGAGAAAGAGATGGGAGAAAAGATGATATGGGAAGGAACAAGATGGATGAGAACCTAGAAGGGGCAGAACAAGATGAAGGAATTAAGATAGAACCCAGAGGGGACCGCGGACAAGTGTAGAGAGAAATCAGGCAAGAAAAGACCTAAATATGAGAGCAGAATATAAGCTTGTAACTGACACAGAATAATAAAGTTTATGGACTAAGGAGTTTCGTGTACATAGATTCATTTCTTCTCATCAAAGATTAATTATCAGCTGGTTGTAGATTCTTCCTGGACCCTGGGAGGGGACTATCGAGGGGCTGGACCCCCTTAGTCCCCGATAAAGGGGAGAGTGAAAGAGCGAAAGGCATCTCGGAGTGCAGACATGAGAGAGGCAGGCAGACAGACAGACAGAGCAGGGAAGAGACAAGAGGAAGAGGAGAGGTGGGGGGTGCCCGTGACTCGGGCCGCCCAGTCAGGGTGCAGGGCTCAGGGTCAGTCCCTGGGTGCAAAGGCTCCTGAAGCTGCCACAACCCCAGCCCACAAAACCTGGGCTGCTGAGCACTGGCTACAGAGGGAGGGGCGGGAGTGCAGAACTCAGAAACCCTGGATGAGGGAGCTCAAACCATTTGTTGTGTGGTGTGAGACAGCCCCCATTTGGATACATTTTGCAGCAGACACCCCAGGGGTGACTGTGGATTGGGTTTAGATTCAGTGTTACCCACTTGAAAGCTTGTGCCAGAGACTTAGAAATCCCTGGAGATAGCCTGGGGTCGAGCAGTGGTGGTGAGGGCAGCCTTTAGGAAGGACATCTCCTTAACGCAATGGTGCCCTGGAGCAAAGGCTGTCTTTGCTCTGGAAACAAATTGGGCTTGCCTGGAGCGGCACATCTTGGCAGGGGATCCTGGGGGTCTTTAACCCAGAAAAGATCTCGACCCAGAAGAGGTACCTGGTACCTCTTTTAAGCCGTGGCTGGCAAATGGGTGACTTACCCCAAGTGGAAAGTTCATCACATCTGGCAGAAAGGAAGATAAAGAGAGAGGAATGCCTCCCCCATGTGGCCTGGGTTCCTGGCCCACCTGCTGGGAAGACTCAACTCCTCCTGGGTTTCAGCACCAAGATAATAGGTTTTCTCTGTCAACACAGTAAGCCAGATCAAGGCCAATTGAAAAAGCAAAAGAACAGGTATATTTGAGCAAAGCAACTCCCGAGTGAGTCCTTCAGCCCCAGAGATTGGGGCTGGAGAAGTCACACAGCCGAACTAAAGCAGGGAACTATATACCCTGGAGGTGAGGGGTGGTGATGTGTCCTCTACAGCTGGGTTTGTGTCCAAGTATGGTCAAATGCTGACCTCTTTACATGGGGTCTTGGGCGGCTGGCAACTTCAGGGAAGGAGCTGCCACAGCCGCCAAGAATGCGGAACTGGGCTTTTTTGCGCCTTTTCTTTGTTGGAGATTCTCTGAGTGGGCGGGGTTTGGAGAGAGGAATGGGGCTTAGTGGATCAAGCAGGAGTAAACTGGAGGTTTCAGCTGAACATGTGTGACTAGTGATCCCCTAAGGATAATCCCAGAATCTCCTAGGAGCCTAATAAGGAATTGGGCTTCTGACCCTACTCTGGAGTTTATAGAAGGTCTTCTAGAAGTGTCACTGAGCTAAGAACCAAAGGAAGACAGTGGATGAACCAAGGAAAGAAAAATAATGTTCATGACCAAGGAACCCCAAAGAAAAGGCCAAAACTGTGTTTGGAAACACTGTGGCTAGACACACCCAACAGAGAACACCCAGTGGAGATCATTTTCTTTTCTTTTTTTCTCTTTCGGTTTTTCAAAACAGGGTTTCTCTCTGTAGCCCTGCCTGTCCTGAAACTCACTCTGTAGATCAGGCTGACCTTGACAGAGATCCACCTGCCTCTGCCTCTTGAGTGCTGGAATTAAAGGCATGTGCCACTAGCCCAGCTGGAGACTATTTTCTGAAGACCATTTACTAGAAGACAGGGTAGATGTTCTTGCCATCAGGGCTGTGGAGACCGGAGTCTGACTCACTGGCCGGTAACTCTCCGAAAGATTAAGGTTTTGAAATTGTTTTTCAATTAGTTGGTTATTTTTTTTTAATTATTTTATTTTATTTTTTTTTTTTTTTTGGTTTTTTGAGACAGGGTTTCTCTGTGTAGCTTTGCGCCTTTTCCTGGATCTCGCTCTGTAGACCAGGCTGGCCTTGAACTCACAAAGATCCACCTGCCTCTGCCTCCCGAGTGCTGGGATTAAAGGCGTGCGCCACCACCACCCGGCTTAAATTTTTTTTTTTTTTTTTTGGGTTTTTCGAGACAGGGTTTCTCTGTGTAGCTTTGCGCCTTTCCTGGAACTCACTTGGTAGCCCAGGCTGGCCTCGAACTCACAGAGATCCGCCTGGCTCTGCCTCCTGAGTGCTGGGATTAAAGGCGTGCGCCACCACCGCCCGGCTTAAATATTTTTTTATTTTTTTTTTTTTAAAGATTTATTTATTTATTATGGATACAGTGTTCTGTCTGCACATATCCCTGCAGGCCAGAGGAGGGCACCAGATCTCATTACAGATGGTTGTGAGCCACCATGTGGTTGCTGGGAATTGAACTCAGGACCTTTGGAAGAACAAGCAGTGCTCTTAACCTCTGAGCCATCTCTCCAGTCCCTGGTTATTTTGAGACAGGCTCTCACTATATAGACTAGGTTAGCCTCAGACTCACAAGAGATCTGCCTGCTTTTGCCTCCTGAGTGCTAGGATCAAAGTTGTTCACCACCACATGGCCATGACTTTTTTTAATGATATAAGGACTTTTTGAGTGTTTGGGTATTTTTTTTTCCTACCTAGAAATGTACTTCTTCCATAGTGGTGACTCAATCAATACTTACTGGATGATAGGTTATAGGATGAGAGATCGGAGTCCCGTGAGACTAGGCCTATCGGTCTAGGAAGGTGTCTTAGAGGACAGGAACAGATTTGGGGGAGAAGAAAGCAGTCTAAGGAACAGGAATTAGTAGCTGGCTTCCTCACGCCATCCCTGAGGCAGCTCTGGAGAAGAGAGCCCACCTCCTCGGTGTTGCAGAGGGTTCAGTTTGGCTGAAGAGCGGGAAGTGGGGTTAAAGTGTGGCCAGTCTGAATCCTTTCCCTACCCAGTTTGATTTACCAGGACTCACAGTGTGGTTTTGGTGAGACCTGGCCTAGAAACCTGTCTGCATGATTAACTTCTGTATGTTGGAGGACAACAGGTCTGTGGTCCTCTCTGACCCCATTTTCATATCTACAAAAGACAGAGAGGAATGCTTGCCTGGGAGGGTTATTGTGGAAATGGTGTGACTTCGTTCTAGGTGACTTAGCGGCTATCTGCATCACTCTGCCTCAGGGATGGCATGAGGAAGCCAGCAAGCTACTTATTCCTGTTCCTTGGACTGCCATCTTCTCCCCAAACCCGTTCCTGTCCTCTGAGACACCTTCTTGGACTGATAAACCTAGCCTCACAGGACTCTGATCTCTCATCCTATAATCTATCACCCAATAAGTATTTATTGTGTCACCATGATGGAGCAGGTATAGTTCTAGGCAGGGGAAAAAACCTGGGTCCCATCTTCTTACACTCTGTCACTTCTGTGGATCCTCTGAGCCCAAGAAAAGGAAACAGCTGCCTAGCCCCATTTGGGAACACCATCCCTCCATTTGAAAGAGCCGAACCAAAATAACCACGGAGAGGCAGGGATGAAGTCGAGATTGTAGGAGGAAGGGGGTCTGGATTGCTGTTCTCCCTGCCACTGTTGGGTGGTTCCTGCATTCCTCATGTAGACTCCCTCCTCAGGTCCCTTTTCCTAGCTTGGTGCTCCTCTGATTCCAGGGTCCACCTCATATTTTTCTCTTCACCAGACAATGGAGCTTGCTCGGAACCCAGCCATGATGCAAGAAATGATGCGGAACCAGGACCGGGCCCTCAGCAACTTGGAAAGTGTCCCTGGAGGGTATAATGCTCTCCGCCGCATGTACACCGACATCCAGGAGCCCATGTTCACTGCTGCCCGGGAACAGGTGGGACCAGGAGGCAAGGAACAGGAGGGCTGGCTGGGTTCAGGATTCCCTACTCCAACCTAAGCATGCCCTAGTGCCTTCTGGGTCACCTGCCCAGTCTCCTGTGGGGTGGACCCTTGCTTGAAGGCATTTCCTTTCAAGTGCAGATCCAGTGACAGCCAGCTTAATGAGGGCAGAATATAACAGGGTCCCTAGGGAGGTCGGTAAGATGGTGTCCAAGGGACGTGACATTGTTCTGATAAACTCGTACACCAGGGGCTCAAAGTGGGGGGTACTGACTTGGGGTCCAAAGTTAAGCAACCCTAGTCAGTGTATCTCAGATATAACCCGTGGTTCATCTTTATCAGAATCACTTGGGCAAACTGTAATAATGAGGTTCCAGACCGTACTCAGGACTACTTACCTGGTCAGTCTCTCCAGGCTTTTGTTTTGTCTCGCTTGTTTTTGTTTTGGGGACAGATCTCGTTATGTAGCCCTGGCTGGCCTGGAACTCTCCATGTAAAACAGGTTGGCCTCTGACTCATAGAGATCCACCTGCCTCTGTGGCAATGAAATGCTCACTGAACCCTTGTTTTTGTTTTTATATTTTCAGACAAGGTTTCACTGTATAGCTCAGGGCATCCCAGAACTTAAAATCCCCCCAAGTCAGCGTACCCTATGTGCTGGGGTGTGTCATCACGGTCAGTGGGATTATGCACTTAAAAAAAAAAAAAAGTATTTTTATTTTATATGTATGGATGTTTTGCCTACATATATATTTGTGCATGCGGTGCCTGTGGAGGCCAGAAGAAGGGGTCAGATCCTCTGAAACTAGAGTTAGAGATGGTTCTGAACCACCATGTGGGTGCTAAGAAACAAACTCAGACCCCCTGGCAGAGTAGCCATTGCTCCAGGCATCTCCAGGATTGTGCACTTTTTAAAATGTTTAATGAGTGGAGAATATTGTTCACTGGTAGAGCGCTTGCCTAGAGTGTGTGAGGCCTAGGGTCAAGTCCTAGCACCACCAAAAAGAAAAAAAACCAACTAATGAATATAAGGTACGGTGTCCCATATCTATAGTCCCAGCATTTAGGAAGATCTGATGTTCAAGGCCAGCCTAACTACATGAATTCTGTCTCAAATGAATAAATAAATAAATAAAGTAACTCAGTTGGTAGATTACTTGTCTGACACGCACAGGCCCTGGGTTTGAGCCCACCAACACAAAACCTGGGCATGGTAGTGTGCTTCTGTAATCCCAGCACTCAGGAGGATCCAGAGGTCATGGTCATCCTCAGCTACATATCAAGTTCAAGACCAACTTGAGAAACATGATATCCTGTCTCCAAAACAAAACTAAATTGAATAGTTGAGAAAGACAACAAGCACTCCAGCTAATTCTGAGCACCCACAGTAAAGCATAAGAAATACTGGTTTTGCTAAAAGAATAAAACATTTGGCATCCACAAACCTGGGTTCATATATCAGCTTTGCCATTTTCTAGCAGTGTGATTTTAAGGGATCTCTCCCTGAACCTTACTCCGTCATTGTCACAGTAGAGGTCATCCATTATAGCAGTAGCTCTCACACTGCTATTGTAGAATTGGTCTCAGGACCCAATTATATTATAAAAAAATTATAGAGAATAAGCTGAGCGTGGAGCATACACCAGGAATCCTAGCTTTCAAAAGGCAGAGGTAGGAGAATCACTAGGTTTGAGGCTAGTCTGGTCTACAAGACAAGTTCCAGGCCAGCTAGGCCCCTAGGTGACACACTGTCCCGTCCCCCCCAAAAAGAATATGCATTCTTCCCTGTAATCCCATTACTCTAGATATAGAAGTAGGAGGATCAAAAGTTCAAGGCTAGCCTGGGCTATGAGAGACTATAAAAAAACAAACATACAAAAGTTACAGAGGGCCCCTAAAAAACTTTGTTTTTGTGAGTTGGACCTTGCAATATTCACTGCCAGAGCCAGGCGGTGGTGGCGCACGCCTTTAATCCCAGCACTCGGGAGGCAGAGGCAGGTGGATCTCTGAGTTTGAGGCCAGCCTGGTCTACAAAGTGAGTTCCAGGAAAGGCGCAAAGCTACACAGAGAAACCCTGTCTCGAAAAACAAGACAAAAAAAAATATTCACTGCCAGAAATTAAAACTGAAGTCTGGGCCGGGCGGTGGTGGCGCACGCCTTTAATCCCAGCACTCGGGAGGCAGAGCCAGGCGGATCTCTGTGAGTTCGAGGCCAGCCTGGTCTACAGCACAAGATCCAGGAAAGGCGCAAAGCTACACAGAGAAACCCTGTCTCGAAAAACCAAAAAAAAAAAAAAAAAAAAAAAAAAAAAAAAAAAACTGAAGTCTGGGCGTGGTGAGAAACAGAAGAAAGTGTGGCCTTGCCGCAGATGTCTTTAATGGCTGGTGCTGTAAGACAGTGAGCTTCTCAGGTCTGTATTCATTCCATTGAACGTCCCCTGCTACATAGCTTTCTTAAGTGAGTAAGTAAAAAGAGCAAATTGACATTTTGTAGAGTTATGAAAACTTTCTAATTTTTGTTTGTTTGTTTGTTTTTCGAGACAGGGTTTCTCTGTGTAGCTTTGCGCCTTTCCTGGAACTCGCTTTGTAGCCCAGGCTGGCCTCGAACTCACAGAGATCCGCCTGCCTCTGCCTCCCGAGTGCTGGGATTAAAGGCGTGCGCCACCACCGCCCGGCAAAACTTTCTAATCTTAATGGGTTATAGGGCCACATTTTTGAGAACTGACGTATAGATGGATATTATATTAGAATAAATGTGCCAAGGCATATAGTAGGTGCTCAGTTAATATGGGTAGTGACTGGTAGTTCTGGGAAAGATTTAGTCTGTAGGTGCACCAGGAAGAACAGAACCAGTTAAGGACTAGAAATGGTGGAGACTCGGGCAAATTACAGGAATGGGAAATCTGAAATGGCAGTAATGACTGAAACTATGGTTTGTGAGGCCAGCTGCCTATCTAAACAGGCATCTGTTGAAGCCAAGGATCCTCAGCTCAGAGGAGATGATTGGTCCGCCCAGATCCATCCACAGCTCAGGGTAGATGATTGGTCAGCCCAGATCCAGTGACCCACTTTGAATAACAGGAAAGGTGGGAAGGGCTAAGCTGCTCAGCTATCTCCCTCTTGCTTCAAGATCTTAAGAGAGCCTCTGAAATCCAGCAAGTGAGGGAGGGTCCAGAGCTGCCTAGCACACATGGGCCCTGGCGTACAGGTCCCTGGAGGGATGGAGGGAGGAGGTTTGGTGTTACCTTTGGGTAACATGCCATCTGATGAGATACAGACCCGAGTATTCTTTGGGAGCGTGGGAGATAGACTGGGGATCCACCCAAAGGACAGGGCAGGAGAAAACCTCCAGGGAATCCTTAGCCAGAGCTCTGCTCCCCTGGGGCTCCATCATGACTTGCCTAGATGGCTCACATGCCTCTCAGGGGACCGAGGAAGAGAGTTCTGGGGTTTAGGATTAGGCCAAGGTGGCTGGGGAAGCAGGAGCTGGGGACAGATGGGGGTCAATTGAGCCAGGTCTGGCAGCCTGCAACCACGAAGCTCGCCGTTCCTGACTGAGCACCTACTAGTGTTGAGGCTGGGTTGAAAGGGGGAATCGGACATGGCCTCTGCCCCCTAACTACTCCAAGAGCAAAACTCCGTCATTACAGCCCAGGAAAGATGCATGCGAAAGTCTCGGGTCACAGAGCCCATAGCAGAGGCCCACACTGGGCACAGGCGAGGGAAGTGGCATCCGGAGGGCTTTGGCTGCCAGTCACCAGCTTCAGCAGGTTCCCTCTGCAGGCTCGGGTGAGGGTGAAGCTAGAGCTTTGGGAACAGAGTAGATGAGGATGTCTGATGTGTCTCCCCTTTCCCCGGGGAGGGGAGGCTCCTAGGTGCGAGCAGAGGGAGCCTCTCCCTTGTCCCTGATCTGTTTCAGTCCTTAACCCGAAACCTTTCCCTCCTCTCAGTTTGGCAACAATCCCTTCTCTTCCCTGGCCGGGAACTCCGACAGCTCATCCTCCCAGCCTCTTCGGACTGAGAATCGAGAGCCCCTCCCTAACCCCTGGAGCCCCTCGCCCCCCACCTCCCAGGCCCCCGGGTCCGGTGGGGAGGGCACCGGAGGATCGGGGACCAGCCAGGTGCACCCGACAGTCTCGAACCCCTTTGGGATCAATGCGGCTAGCCTGGGGTCAGGTATGTCTTAGGGTGGAAGGAGCTTAGTGGGGTCACACCAGGGCAGCCCCTCTGCCCCAGCACTGAGTGGGGTTCACACTGCTTTGTGTGTTGAAAACAAGTGAGACTGAGTTAAAGCTACAGCAGGGCTCAGCGGGGGCAACGGCCCTGCCCCTCAGAGGAGGAAGGTTTGCTCTGGTCATGTCCCTGGCAGGGACCTAAGTAACAGCTCATGAGTAAACCAGGCCACGCCTCCCAGCTCCATGAATACTTCTGGTACCATCCAGGGTAAACGGGACAGAGTGGGAGATGCGGATGAGAGGGAAGGGATGCAGAAGAATCAGAACACATCCACGGACAGGCAGATGTGATGTCAGAGAAAGATGTGCAGGTTATCGTGTGTACTAATGCAGGCTGCACACTGCTAAGCCCCAGGCCTGTGACAGGACACATAGCTCCGGGAGATCCTTTGGTAGATTCCCTGATTTCTCTAGGAGATACTTTAATTGGGAAGTCTTTTCCCCTTAGTGTGCTTCCGTTCCCTTATTTATTAAGGGAGGACTAGCTCTTGGTCTGTGGTTTAAACACTATTCCTAAGTGTTGGGATCTGGACCATCTCCAGGAGATGGAAGGACCAAATGGGAGCCAGCTCCATGTCTCCTGCTCTGGCTTCAGCCGCACCCTTACCTTACCTGAGTGGGATTTGGCTTGAGAAGCAGGCCTCTGCTGCTGAGGCAGGTTTAAAAGCCACTGCTCTCCATGGCGTTTATTCTTTCCGGCTCACACTGTCTGAGCTTGGGGCAGGCTCAGTCCAGAGGGACGTGGTAACTCAGACTTGGTTTCTAGCCAGTTAGCCTTTAGCCAGGTTGATGGGACAGGCGCAGGATAACGCAATGTAAGCTGACTTTAGAGTCCGGAGCGCCTGGACCCGCGCCATGCATTTGGATGCCTATTTGACCGTAGCTTCTGTTTCTTGACCACTCAGTGAAGTAAGGTAGATGAAATGAGGTGTCTGGTTTCCATGTGGACCCCTTTCTTCCTGTTTGTTTATCCCTCTTTGTTTTAGGGATGTTCAACAGCCCAGAAATGCAGGCGCTCCTCCAGCAGATCTCTGAAAACCCCCAGCTGATGCAGAATGTGATCTCGGCCCCTTACATGCGCAGCATGATGCAGACGCTCGCCCAGAACCCTGACTTCGCTGCTCAGGTAAGAGGGAAGTGCTGCTGGGGAAAGGGTTCCCCACGAGGGAATAGTTTGCAGGGGCAGTTGCAGCACTCTGGGGCCAGGCTGCCTAGGTTCCTACTCCACATCCTGCTACTTCACAGCTTTGGGGGCTAACCAAGCTACTTCACCTCCGGATCTCCTCTGCAAATGGTAGCAACGGGCTGGAGAGATGACTCAGAGGTTAAGAGCACTGGTTGCTCTTCCAGAGGTCCTGAGTTCAATTCCCAGCACCCACATGGTGGCTCACAACCATCTGTAACTCCAGTTCCAGGGAATCTGACACCTTCACACCAATGCACATAAAATAAATTAAAAACGAAAACAACAAAAACCAGTAGCAACAATAGCTCCCCCTGGGGTGGATGATGGCATGGCACATAGGAGGCACTGTGTACCTGAAGTGGTAGTTCAGGTGACTGTCAGACAAGCCTGGGCAGTGTGACCCCTGCTCAGCACACGGGTCCCTTTCTTCCATGCCCCACATGGACTTTGGAGTACTTTGAGGTGTCTCGAAATGCTGGTGAGATCTCCTGCAGTGGTGGGAGTGCTGAGGAGGGTCCGAGGCTGTGGGGCTCCTCAGGGTAGGACGACCCAGGCCTCCCCTGCTCCCTTCACTCTGGCAGATGATGGTGAATGTGCCGCTGTTTGCGGGGAATCCACAACTTCAGGAGCAGCTCCGTCTGCAGCTCCCCGTGTTTCTGCAGCAGGTGAGTGAAGGTCATGGAGGGAGACCTGGGGGCGCAATGACTGGAAGTGAAGGTGGTGGACGGGCTGGGGCTGGGGCTGACTGGCTCTTTCCCAACAGATGCAGAACCCAGAGTCTCTGTCCATCCTCACCAATCCCCGGGCCATGCAGGCCTTGCTGCAGATCCAGCAGGGCCTGCAGACCCTACAGACTGAAGCCCCTGGGCTGGTACCCAGGTAAGGACGGTTGGTGGGCGTTAAGGTTCGCTCTCTCTGTCCTGTCTATCTATCTTACACACACACACACACACACACACACACACACACACACACACACACACACACTCACGCACACTCACACACAGACACACACACACACCATTGCACCATTGTTCCTTGGGCTGGGTCTGCTTTTCTGTTTTGTTCTGACTGCTTTTCCTTCTGGATCTCACATTTCCATTCTTTTCTTTTCCTTTTTCTTCCAGATTAAGTCTCTCTTTCGTAGCCTAGGCTAGCCTCAAGTGCTGAGGTTACAAGCATGTTCCTCCATGTCCATTTCCCATCCTGTTCTGAACTGCTGTCTCCTAACTCTTTTTCTTTCCCTCCCTCCAGCCTTGGCTCCTTTGGGACATCCCGGACCCCTGTACCCCTGGCAGGCAGCAACTCTGGGTCTGCAGCCGAGGCCCCCACCTCCTCCCCAGGCATACCAGCCACGTCTCCAACCACAGCGGGTTCCAGTGCCCAGCAACAACTCATGCAGCAGATGATCCAGCTTTTGGCCGGAAGTGGAAACTCACAGGTATCCAGGGCAGCAACCCATCCGTCCTGAGGAGCATCAAGAGCAGTACTGGAGCAGAGGCAGCAGGACAGGCTCTGCAGGAGGCCAGCCTGTCTTCAGGGTCTGGTCTACCACTCATTAGCTTTGGGCAGGTTACCGTATGTCCCCAAGTTCAGTTTCTATAGCTTTAAAGTAGGGTAAGAGTAGACAGCACTCAGCACATGCTTGGTACCATGCTGAATGCTCTGTCTAGGAGAGTCATTTGCCCCGTTCCCAACAGCCTCGGGGGACTGTCACAGCATCAGTATATTAGGGATGGGGAAACTGGGAGCAAAGAGGCCAGCTGCTCACTTACATAGCTGGTAGGTGATGAGAGTAAAGGGCGGGGTCTTAGGCCCCAGAGATGACTTGGGGTGTGACCTCTGTGACTCTTCTGGAAATTCTACAAATGTTTGTGTAAAACGCTAAGAGAGCTGGGCCAGGTTGATCTCCAGGGCACATCCGGTACAAAGTCTGTGACTGAGTAACATCAGCATGGCACTGGGAAAGCCTCTGACACCATAGGGCTTGTGTGGTCCTCGGCAACTATCCCTAGTCAGGTGGGCAGTGGACACCAGCCTTCCATAGCAAGCTTTCTTGTTGGACTATCTTTGGACCACCAGCCTGAAAATCATGACCCGGAGACTTAATTATGAAAGCTTGGCCTTAGCTTAGGCTTTTCCCCAACTACCTTTTTTTGAGACAGGGTTTCTCTGTGTAGCTTTGCGCCTTTCCTGGAACTCACTCTGTAGCCCAGGCTGGCCTTGAACTCACAGAGGATTAAAGGTGTGCGCCACCACCGCCTGGCCCCAACTACCTCTTGTAACTTAAATTAACCCATTCATATTAATCAACAGTCTGCCACATGGCTTGGTTACCTCTTCTTACTATGGCATATCCAACTTGCTGCAAGTTTGATGGCAAAATTGCACGCCTAGATTCCTCCTCCCCGATTCTCTGTCTCTGCCCAGAAGTCCCACCTAGTCTCTCCTGCCTAGCTATTGGCCATTTTGCTCTTTATTAAACCAACAGAAGGTGCCTTAGGCGGATAAACATCTTTACAGTGTACGCAAATACTGCACCACAACCTTCCTTTTCCTGGATCTGGTCATGATCAAGACTCGTGCTTCCCAAACATCCATGGGAAAACATTGTAGTCAGACTTTTTTTGGACTGCCCGCTCACAAATAACGACATGGAAACTTATTGTTAATAATGAAAGCCTGGCCTTTAGCTTAGGCTTGTCCCAACTAGCTCTTATAACTTAAATAACCCATTTATATTAATCCACATTTTGCTGTGTGGCATTACCTCTCCTTCATCTTGCACCTCCTGTTTCTTCTCCGTGTCTGGCTCACAACTCTGCCTTTCTTCTTCCCAGAGTTCTCTCTCTGCCCGGAAGTCCCACCTATACCTCCTGCCTAGCTATCGGCTGTTCAGCTTTGTATTACACCAATCACAGCAATACATCTTCACACAGTACAAATATTCCACAGCAAAACATTTCCAAGAGATATTTATAGGAGTATGTTGAAAAAAAAATGTGTCTTTTGTTAATTGTGTTTACTGGCGGGTTAAAAACCTTAAGCAGGTTCTTTTCTTCCTGGGCCCTTCTCTGGCCTTTACTATGGTAGTAGTTCCGAAGACTTTCAGGAGGGGCATGGTTAGCATTTAGCATATTTGACTGTAGAGCTCTGGGCTGTGTGTGTGTGTGTGTGTGTGTGTGTGTGTGTGTGTGTGTGTGTTGTTATGGATCAAACCCGGAGGCTTGCACATAGTAGGCCAGGGCTCTGCCACTGAGCTACATGCCCAACCCAGCATTAGGCTTCTTTTTTTTTTCCAGATTATTTTTTTTTTTTTTTTTTTTTTTTTTTTTTTTTTTTTTTTTTTTTTTTTTTTTCAAGACAGGGTTTCTCCGTGTAGCTTTGCGCCTGTCCTGGAACTCACTTGGTAGCCCAGGCTGGCCTCGAACTCACAGAAATCCACCTGGCTCTGCCTCCCGAGTGCTGGGATTAAAGGCGTGCGCCACCACCGCCCGGCTTTTTTTCCAGATTATTTATTTTGCTTTTTTGTATGAACGTTTTGTCTGCATGTGTGTCTGGGCATCAAGTGTGCGCCTAGTGTGCAGAGGCCAGAAGTATCAGGTCCCTGGAAACTAAAGTTACAGACAGTTGTGAGCCACCATGTAGGTACTAGAAACAAACCCAGCTCCTCAGGAAGAGCAGCCAGTGCTCTTAAACACTGAACATTAGTTTTTTTTTTTTTTTTTTTTTTTTTTTTGGTTTTTTGAGACAGGGTTTCTCTGTGTAGCTTTGCGCCTCTCCTGGAACTCACTTGGTAGCCCAGGCTGGCCTCGAACTCACAGAGATCCGCCTGGCTCTGCCTCCCGAGTGCTGGGATTAAAGGCGTGCGCCACCACCGCCCGGCGCATTAGTCTTTTGAAGCATGTGTTAACATCTTCTAGAGAGCATTTAGGAACAAGCTGACATAGGCCTACTGGGGACTTGGGAAGATTAACAAAAATATCATCTGTCTCTGTTCAGCGGTGGCGCACGAATTTTGTCTGTTTTATTGTTATAGTTATTTGCTAACTTGGGAACTAGGTTCCCTGGCCTTCATCTGCAGCTCACTTTTCCTTACACCAAGCATGTGTAGCTAGAAGGGCCATCCTTGGCCATGGGGGTATTAGGAACCGACTGGTATTCCGGAAACACTCCAATTCCAACTGTCCCTCTAGGAGACAGGCACGGTGTTATGTGCCTGCAATCCCAGCACTGTACTAGGCCAGCCTGGGCTGCATAGCAAGACGTTCTCAAAAAGAAAGGAAGAAAGGGCTAGCCCTGGAATGGGTCCATGCCCACTAGCCAAGGCCTGCCTCCTCCAGGTGCCGATGCCGGAAGTGAGATTTCAGCAGCAGCTGGCGCAGCTCAACTCCATGGGCTTTGTCGACCGTGAGGCCAACCTCCAGGCCCTGATTGCCACGGGAGGGGACATCAACGCAGCTATTGAGAGACTCCTGGGGTCCCAGCTCTCCTGATCCCGGGCCCGCGCCTCCTGCCTTCCCCACCTCTCAGCGCCAGCCTTTGGCTCCTCTGTCAAGCCCTACCTTCTGTAGCCTGTCTTCTTTGACCTCTACCAACAGCAGGGTGACTCTGGAGGATGGGCCCAACCATAGCTCTGTCCAAGGATTTTGATTTGGTTGCTGTCTTATGAAATCTTCTCCCCTGGTCCTCTGAGCAGAGCTCTCTCGTTTGCACAGTTGTGTCGGTTGGGCCCACCTCCTTGCCCAAAGTCCGTCGGCAATGTTCAGCCTTCTCCCAGGGTCTGAGAGGAGGACCCCCGTCTGGCTTACCGGAAGTCTTCCATCGGTACCACTAGGGTTTAGCTTGCCTTACATTCACTCTTACTCTCTTCCTTCCCCTCCCTCAGCCCAACCAGTGTTTGAATTTCACTCTCTGGAGAGGAACTGATGAAATGCTATAGTTTTCTTTCTCTGCCCCATTCTGCAAATTCACCCAGCATTTTCTCATGGGCTCTTTGGGACTCTAAGAAAGATACCTGTCCTCTTGCCCAAAGAGAGCCATGCGCAGGCAGTCTGGGCAGGATTACCAAGAACAGACAAGACCAGCAGAGGCTGGTGCTGAAGAGCAAGAGCTGAGAGTTCCTGGAAGCAGGGACTGGAGGAGACAGCCTGAGCTGAAGGCTCGGAAACCGAATTGACAGTTGGGTCTAGAAACACCAATAGATTTCAGGTTGGAGAACCCAGGCCCAGGCCTGGCAGAAGAGAGAAAGACTGGTGGAATTTTGAAGAAAGGAGCTTAACAAAGCTGAGCAGTGTGACCCACAAGGAATCAGGTTTCCATGGTCTCCAACGTGTGTGGCGTGCACACGCGCACGCACACACACACCCAGGACCTACCTGTATCTTCAGGCTCTGGTACTTTGAGCTCCACTCCCCAGAAGTTATGCTGGGGATTGGATCTTTCTCAGCAGTATGGAGAATTAGTATATATGCACACATGTGCGCACATGCAAGTTGGGAGGTGTGTGTTCTTTGTTGGTTTCTGGTTCACTACTTTGTCAACAGAGATGAGTGGGTACAAGGGCCAGCCTAGTGGAGGAATAGAGCATTGGGAGGGAGAGCTGGGTCTCCTGGGCCTCTGGGTGTTTGGTAACCGAAAAGCATATTGGGTAATTCTAAAGACAATGGCTCTGACTGATACCCATGCCACCATTACTCTTGGTGAAAAAAAGTGAGGTTTCTCTTCCAGAGCTCCTGCCTTTCAATTCCTTGCCAGCTCCATCTAGGCCAGAAAGTTCTTTAGAAGGGGTGAGATGGTGATGCCTTTAATATGGAATTGGGCTTAGCTGGACCACACGGCAGAGAATGTACTGAAAGCCGTGTGGTTCAGCTACTTGGAGGACCCCTGGCTGAGAGATAGAGGTAAGAAGAGGAATCCTGCTCCAGGTAGGAGGGATCCCCAGCAGCTCAGACATGCCTGCCCTTTTCTCTTAATCCCAACACCCACCCTGGCCTTTGTAAATAAATGATTTTGTTGTGAGAGTACATTGATGATGGTGGTGGTGGTTGTTTTCTGAGGGAGGAATCGGGCTGAAGACAAAGTCACTGCCTGTCTTGAGTTTTGGTGTTCTGAGAAGGTGCCACTGTAGCCCAGGCTGGCCTAGAACGTGCAGCAGCCCCCCGGCCCGAGGTTCAAGTGATGGGACTGTAGGCTGGGCTCCCACGCTTGCCTTATCTTCTGTGCAGTGAAGCTGTGAGTAGAGTATGGTGATGTAAGAACGAACCACGTGTGGGAGAGTGGGAGACTGCTTCAGACCAGTTCTCAGCGCAAATTCCAGTGCTGGATAGAAGAAAAAAATCTTAAAGCATCAAGGAGCCGGGAAGGCTGGCTTGAAACTCAGCACCTGAAGGCTGCCTGTTTTTGTTTTTGTCAAGCAAGGAAGGTAGTTTTATTAACCTATAGTCAACAGATCATATGAACAAAGGGTTGGGCAAATACAGAGGAGAATGTGATAAATTCCAGATGAGTGAGGCTTCAATGGAAGAGGTAGACCTTCAGGGATTACTTGTTTTGTGCCAAATACATGTTTATGATTCAGAAGACAGCATTTAGTCTAGAGTGTGAAGATACTGAGTCTAAACCAAAGCTGCAGCCAGATGAGAGAGTCCTGTGCCTCTGCACTGTGCCTCCAGATAATACCCTCCCCTATTTCTCAAGACCCAACCCAACTCTTCCTTGTTGTTGGAGACAGGATCTCTTACAGCCCAAGCTGGCCTCCAGCTAGCCATGAAGCTGAAGATAACCTTGAACTCCTGCACCTCCTCCCATGTCTTAGGATTCCTGGTATGCACTACTATAAATAACCCTTTACCCTCGTAACTTTACTTACTGAATCTGAACATACAAGCCTTCCACTGGATGCTCTCTCTCCAATCTCTGAATCCCAAGTATTTTGCCTGTCTGACACCAATAGATTATAATCTTAAAAACACATACTTGCGCCGGGCGGTGGTGGCGCACGCCTTTAATCCCAGCACTTGGGAGGCAGAGGCAGACGGATCTCTGTGAGTTCGAGGCCAGCCTGGTCTACAGCGCGAGATCCAGGAAAGGCGCAAAGCTACACAGAGAAACCCTGTCTCGAAAAACCAAAAAAAAAAAAACACACATACTTGTATTTGTATTAAGGCTGCCTTTTTTTGGTTTTTATTTAGAGTGTCTGTGTCTGTGTATACATTTTGCTGGCCCTAAATGCTGCCTTTGGCTTGGCAGGTTTCATGAACTGGGAAGTCATTGCTGAGAGGCTGAGCTGTGTCCTTGGTGGCTTTGGAGCTGGAAGCTAAAAGGAGTAAGGAGGTTAGGGTTTAGGAAGTAGGAACCTTAACACATGCAGAACTTAACACCAGGTGGATTGGGAGTCCACCAGCCATGTTCCGCAGCATGGACAACCCACTCGGGGCCCCAGGACCCTTAACCTGAGCTTAGATTGAGAGGCCAGATTGTTGGCATCTGCTTGGTAAAGTGAGCAAAGGGCTATAAAAAGCCATCTGTGTCTCAGACCTCGGAAGTGTTAATGGGCTGAGCATGGTGATGTGTGCCTGTGACCCAGCACTGCAGGACCTTAACAGCACACCTAAAACACACAGATCCAGGTCAGAACTATGAAAATGAAATTTGGAGTAATAGGGTAGAAAATAAAAGGGGGGGGGGGGGCTGGAGAGGCGACTCCGCAGTTAAGAACACTCGCTGCTTTTCCAGAGAACCTGGGTTGGAATCCCAGCACACTCGGTGCTCACAACCATCTGTAGCTCCAGTTCCAGGGGATCTGGCACCAGCTCATTCTGGCCTCTGCAGGCAGCAGGCATGCACATGGTACGCAGACATGCATGCAGGCAAAACAAACATCTTTAAAAAGTTTAAAAAAAAAATAAAACCTGGGCAGTGGTGTCATACACTTGGGAAGCAAAGGCAGGCAAATCTCTGTGAGTTCAAGGCTAGCTTGGTCTACAGAACAAGTTCCAAAGCTATACAAAAACAACCCTGTCTCGAAACACCAAAACAAAACAATTTTACAAAGTAAAAGCTGGGCAATGGTGGCATACACCTTTAAGCCCAGCTCTAGGGAGGCAGAGGAAGGCAGATCTCTGAATTCAAGGCCAGCCTGCTCTATAGAGCAAGTTCCAAGACAGCCAAGGATACACAGAGAAAACCTGTCTTGAAAAATTAATAATAATAATAAAATAGAAAAGTCATGAGTCAAGGCCAGCTTGAGTTATCTAGTAAGATTCTTTCTCAAACTAAAAATAAAGATTTTTGTTTTAGGATGTCAAAGGTGTTTTGCATGATATTAAAATGAGGTAAATGCCAACACAGTGGCGCACACCTTCAATCCCAGCATTCAAGAGGCAGAGGCAGGCAGATCTCTGCAAAGCTCATAGCCAGCCTGATCTACATATAAGTTCCAGGTCAGCCAGGCCTACACAGAAAGGTGCTGTCACAAAGCATCAAGGTAATAATGGGTCCATAACTATACATTTACCCAAAGCTATAAAACTATAACAAAACAGTGAAACTTAATGCATTCAAAGTTTAAAACAAGAGGCTAAGGCATCTAAGGCTTTAATGCATTCAAAGTTTAAAACAAGAGGCTAAGGCATCTAAGGCTATAGATATAATATATAGTTATAATGACCAGTGATCGGCAGTCTCTACTTTTATACTATACTATACTCATTGATGGTGACTCGTGAAATGTAGAGTCTAAGATTCAAGGCCAAAGAAGCTGCCCGTTACACTGCGGTTGATAGAAATGCCTGCTCTGGGTGGGCGGAAGGCTCAGAAGGCAGAACTGCCTGGCTTGCAAGCAAGTCTGACTACCTGAGACAGTCCCAGACCCCACAGCGGAAGAGGGAGAATTGACTCCCAGACCATGTCTGTTGACCACACACATACATGAGGTGAAGCACACATACATCTGTACACACACAAGCACACAAACGAGTAATAAATAATAAATTTTAAAAAATAATTGGTTCCTATGGATGTACTGTAAATTTTGTTGTTGGTTTTGTTTTGTTTTATAAGACAAGGTCTCATGTAGCCAAGGGTGGCCTCCAACTCACTGTGTAGCTAGTAGTTGACAGTAGTCTTGAACTCTTGATCCTCCTGCCCATACCTCTACGCCTACTAAGAGCTGAGATTATAGAGCTGTACTCCTGTACTGTACCTGACTGGCATTTTTTTTCCATTTTATTTGTGTGTGGGTGTTTTGTCTGTGTGCTACCTGTGTTCAGGTGTACAGTATCCACTGAGGGCAGAAGAGGGTGCTGGATCTCCTAGGACTGGAGTTAACCGATGGTTGTGAGCCAGCCTGCTGGTGTTGGGAATCAAGGACGGCTTCTCTGGAAGAGCAGTCCATGTTCTTTATGCCATCTCTCCAGACCCTGTACCTGACATTTGTTATTTTGTCTTCCTTTCTTTCTTTTTTTTTTTCTTTTGGTTTTTTTGAGACGGGGTTTCTCTATGTAGCTTTGGAGCCTGTCCTGGAACTCACTGTAGACCAGGCTGGCCTCGAACTCACAGAGATCCACCTGCCTCTGCCTCCCTGAGTGCTGGGATTAAAGGCGTGCACCACCATTGCCCAGCTAATTAAAAAAATATTTTTAGAGCTGGGCGGTGGTGGCGCACGCCTTTAATCCCAGCACTCGGGAGGCAGAGCCAGGCGGATCTCTGTGAGTTCGAGGCCAGCCTGGACCACCAAGTGAGTTCCAGGAAAAGGCGCAAAGCCACACAGAGAAACCCTGTCTCGAAAAACCAAAAAAATACATATATATATTTTTAAAAAATAATTTTAGGGCTGGAGAGATGGCTCAGAGGTTAAGAGCACTGACTGCTCTTCCAGAGGTCCTGAGTTCAATTCCCAGCAACCACATGGTAACTCACAACCATCTATAATGGGATCTGGTGCCCTCTTCTGTCTTGCATGCAGGCAGAACATAATAAATAAATAAATCTTTTAAAAAAAATAATAATTTTAAAATGCTGGGCGGTGGTGGCTCACGCCTTTGATCCCAGCACTCAGGAGGCAGAGGCAGGTGGATCTCTGTGAGTTCGAGGCCAGCCTCGACTGCAGGCAGATCTGTGAGTTCGAGGCCAGCCTGGTCTACAGAGTGAGTTCCAGGACAGGCTCTAACACTACACAGAGAAACCCTGAGTTGGAAAACCAAAAGAAAGAAAAAAAATTCCAGTTCCCCAGACTCCAAAAGGCAGTCCCAATATCCAGAAATGAGTTTAACCTGGACTGTAGGAGGACTTTTGGCAGTTAGATAGATAGACAGATAGACAGATGAATGAATGGATGGATGAATGGATAGAAAGAAAGAAACAGAGAGAGAGAGAGAGAGAGAGAGAGAGAGAGAGAGAGAGAGAGAGAAAGAAAGAAAGAAAGAAAGAAAGAAAGAAAAAGAAAACAGCCAGTATTCCTCTGGAACTTGTGAAACCGGTTCCCATCTGCCAAAAGGAGTTCTTTCCTCTACTTCTGGCAGAGACATATGGCTCCCTGTAGTGCCTATCAGCACATCAGCCCGTGCTGGCCTCCAGGCTCCCTCAGTATAGTGTCACAAATACCCACGCACATTTCAAAGCCCATGCTAGCCCTTCTTACCTCCTCCAGCTCTCGGCTTCCCGTCCCCGAGCGGCTCGTAAGCTGGCTACACTCACTATTCTGTCTCTGGTTATTCTGCCATGTTCGGTCTACTTCTTTCTCTGTGTTCTGGACTCTTCTGGATGCCTCTGGATATTTTCTCTCTCTCTCTTTTATTTATTTATTATCTCTATCTCTTTATGCATCTGGGGGTTCTGCCTGCACGTGTGTTTGTGCAGCGGGTACATGCAGTGCCTGCAGTCCAGACCCTGGGACTGGAGTTACAGGCAGTTGTAGCCGCCATGTGGTTGCTGGGAACTGAACCCAGGTCCTCTGGAAGCGCAGCCAGTGCTCTTAACCACTGAGCCATCTCTCCAGCCCAATTTTCTCTCTCTTATTTACAAT